CTCTCTCGGTTGGATGAAATTTAGGCGTGAAAGAGTATGAATAGAAATTGGTGTCCTTGGTCCATCCTTCTTTAGGAGGGATATCGCTGTGGGCCATATAGCCTAAGCCTTAGGCCCTAAGGTGTGACTTCAATGTTACCCTTTTCTTTTTTTTGTTTCCCACCGTTCAAGTGCCCTTCTACGAGTCATTCGCTCTTACGAATACTTTGGGTTCCATAAAAGCGGGGAACCTCTTAACCATCTGATTAAATCAGTCAGCCAACTATACAGTTATTTGATATACTTTGTTAGCCCTTCAAGACAGCGCCTACTATATGTTGTAACCGCTCCACTGTCACCCACTAATTTAAGTATAATTAGAATGATCAGTAACAAAAATTAATTGCAGGTAACAAGTAATACCCAAGCCGGTGGGACATAGTCACATTCTTGTTTTCAGGAATGGACTTATTCCAAATCTTGATGTTATACAGGAAGCACCCCCTGTGGTTTTTTTCTGACAAATTTTGTTTGCGAGTAGCACGGCGGCAAACTTTGAGAATTCGATCACTGACAGGTCCTGCGTGTCGTAACTTAAAAGTAGGCGGTTTTGAAACCAACGCCAAGCAGGTTATCTGTCAGTGTACTGTCAAAAACGACGTTAGGACTTTAGGCGTCAAAGCCCCAAATTGCAGCTAGCTGATTGGAGATCCAGAAATTGTATGAACCCTAGTTCTCAAAATTACCCAATCAGTGGAATTAAAGGGGAGTGACTTAGCAGAGGAACTGACGTCCAGGGGACCTCAGTGTTTTCACACAAAGAGTCACAAGTTAGTTGACAGACAGTTGCCAAACGGTCGCAAGTGCCTGCTACTCGTAAATAATTCGGAACAAAATCTGTGTTTTTCGCTGTTGGGTATAAATTCAGAGCGCTAAAGAAAGTGTAAATTGTGATAATAACGTCCGTTATACCAGGACTGTGCTAGACAAGGACCTACATATAAGCATCCTTTGTATTGACTGCGTGCCATCAGGTGAAGGGAAGTGCTGATCTCAATAAATGGTCACAGTGTTTAAGTGTAAATTAGCATTGAACCAACTACTTCCCTCCCCGTCCTAAGCGAGGCCCTGGAAACGCCCTGAGAAGGATCCCAGCTCTACCCACAGCTGAACTAGTTGACTATCACCTTTACCCCCTTTCCAAAATAAACCTCCGACTATTGTAAGCCGACACCACCTGAGCTTACTGGCGCCCAACCTAAGAAGAAAGGAGAGGAGCGACGAACACCGCGTGACTAACCAACCAACAAGGGGGGAGTGAAAGTGAGGGAAAAACGGTTACAAAGAGTGAAGAGGTGGAGCCCAACGTAAGGACTGGACGGTTACAATGTACCACTTGCCTTAACATTTCATGCGTTTCGCAGAATAAAGAGCGCTTATTTTCGTAAACAGCATTAACCGAATGGCAGGGCCCAGTGGAAATTTATTGCCTGGTCAATCGACAATAAGTCCGCCCCCCCCCTTTCCCACAGTTTAGAATAGATCAAAATTCTCGAAACTTCGTCACAGTAACACCATATTTCTAGACGCCGTGTCGTAATTCTTCTTTCTTCAGTCTTTATGGATCAGGCCCTCTGCCTCGTTCCGGCTAAGAATTTAGGCTTCAAATCTCAACTCTTACGCAGTCTACTAGGACTCCTTGGATATGGGATGCCTGTGTTAGTAAACAATTTTCATTTACAGTGCCGTAGACCTATAGAATATTTAAATGTATGTCAATTAGTGGTCACATTGTGAGCAAAGATGCAGCAGAAATCAATTTTTATTTAATGAAAAGCCAGAGAGAACGAAGGTTTGTAAAATGCACACCTCCTAAAATGGTGTGGCCCCAAACCCCTGTGCCTTCGAGAGAACTGTGACGACTATTGTTTATAATGGAGACGCAATGTGTTCTCTGTGAGGCACGAGCTGAATTTTAAATGGTATTCAGACAAACTTCATGCTTCAAAAGATTATAGTGCCTTAGAAGACAGACTCTGACTGACATATTTATGCGTCTGTACTTTGATTCACTCGACGACACAACAGATATAGATTGCTTCTATTAATATGGCGTGGCAAAGCAAGTTGCGTTATGTAATCGTCACTGACAGTTTCTGCCTGCACATTTGGTGCTGAAAATGGAATCCTGTTCGCTGCTACTACAAGAGGAAGAAGGTTTCAGATTACTGTACAACGTCACTTATCGCGTTCCAAATAATATAGGCTTGAGATAGCGAGCTAAACAGTTGGGGGGGGGGGCTTCCGAGTTAACCCTTTAAAGCAGGGCTGCTCAAATTCTAACCACTGACGGGCAGCACTGTACTTCCGGTACCTAGCCACCGGTCACTTTATAAAAAATTTTCTAATATACGAGATTGCTAGATTTTATCGATACTGTATACAATCATGTAACCATATTAATTCCACGTTGTTTATTACGTATCTTGTGAAATCAGTCTAAGAATTACGCAGGATGTTTATTGCAAGCACTTTTCATAAAGTTTCTTTTTTCCAACAGATTCGCCACTTTTCTTTTAAGAAGACGGTGAATTTTTGACCTAAAGTAAAACGATACAAGATGCATTCTTAGAAGAAATGAGTAAAACCGTAGAACATATTTTATGTCCGTTCCACAGCTCAGGCGGTTAGTTGCTGGCTTCCCACCGCAGCGGCCCGCGTTCGAAACCGAATCAGGTCATGTGAGATTTGTGGTGGACAAAGTGACACTGAGGCAGGTTTTCTCAGAATACTTCGGTTTCCCCTGCCAATCTTCATTCCACCAGCTGCTCCACAATCACCCTCACCTATCATCTGGGGCTGGTACAATAGGCCAATAGTGGCCGCAGTACAAGGGACTTAGTCCCACCCCACCAAGAATAATAATAAAAAATAACATATTTTGAGTGACGGAAGGATGCTCTCGTGGACGGCACATGCGGGTCTTGTGCATTGAGTTGGACAGCCCTGCTTTAAAGCACGGTGATAACCATACGTACCAACTAATTTAATATTAAAAGAGCTCAGGATTTGGCCCCTATATTGTATTTGTGTGTTTCTTACGATTCTCAGAATAAAGAGCAGTTATTTCGCTACATAGAATTAACCGATCGGTCTTTGTGATTGAGAAATAATGTGTTTTCTGCGATGTAGGAATTCGATTGTTAATTTAGTTATTCAGAGGAACTTCAGTCTTCCTGTGGTTAACTATCTCTAACTAACTTGACGATACAGTGTAACCGATTGAGATGAGACAAGCTCACTTAGTGCAATTTCCCATAAAACTAGGATACAAAAATTTTTTAGCCCTGCACACGCTCCGAGTTTTTACTGACCACTACATTTCTGGGAAGGAGCCGCAGTCAGATTTTTACTTGTCTATAAATATTGCTGCTGTAAGACTCTCGACATTTTAAGAGCCCGCCTCCAATTTTAAACAGTTTAAGAACATGGGGAAGTGGGCAAAAGTGGACGAAGAGAAAGCTACATCGGCCGATAAAAATGATACGGGGATGACAATAAATATTGAAAGGTAAGCTAATATAACATTGTTTCTTGGCGTGCGTAACGACATTTTTCAACTGTGTACCGCAGGTTAAATAACAGCATGATGTCTACGAGTTACGTTTAAGGAAATGGTCACACTCATTTAAGGAGTCATAGCATTTACCAATATCGTCTGAGGATACTGAAGAAAAGTGTCGATCAATATACGTATACAGTCTCTAGTCTGAAATTCCATACAACCTTCCAAATACTGGAGAGATATAAAAATTGTGCTCAAGATAAATTTTAAGATAAGCAGGAAAGGGTTTAATTTTTTTTAATTCGCTTAGTGGGGGGTGGAGCCCAACTGGGTCCACTCAGCACGGCGGCCACTGATTGGCCTATTGTAGCCTGCCCCGGGTGATTATGATGATGGAGAATTTGGTGGAATGAAGATTGGCAGGAGAAACCGAAGTACTCGGGGAAAACCAGCCCCAGCGCCATTTTGTCCACCACAAATCCCATTTGACCAGACCCAGGATCGAACCCGGGCCGCCGCGGTAGGAAGCCAGCAACTAACCGCTTGAGCTATGGCGCGGCCTCTAGCAGGAAAGTGTTACTTTCCTTGTCATCATCACAACTGTATAGAAACAAAAATTTAAAGGAGGATTAAAATTCAAATCGAGAAATGAAAAATTCTTCCTATAATTGAGAAAGAAAACAAATTGGGAATGTGAATTCAGATCTCATCCCAAAACTGTAACTCATCGTTTTCATATTGTCCATCCAGCCTCCTAGTCAATGCATACCAAGGGCTCTTTCCTTGGAGGTAAAGCGGCTGGGGCGTGAAGCTGACGACTCAACTCCAACTAGTGCCGAGGTCAAGAATACATGGGTCTATACATTCACTCCCTCATATGACTTCATGGCGTAGTGCTTAATTAGTTAAGTACAGGGTCAACTTTACCTTTGTAACAGTCATAGCTACAGTACATGTTAGCAAGAATACTATATACATTTTATTTCTATTGGGGAGTGTTCTGTGAGGTCGATATGGGGCCTATCCAGCCCTTAATCAGCAGGTACCGGTGTTAAAACGGCCGGGGCATAAAACCGAGCACTTATCTCTCGTCGGTACCCAAGTTAGTTATGGCTGGAACATATCCCCACACCCTTATAACCCCACATACTGTGGTGCTTAGCTAGGACACCTTTACTTTTAACTTCACTAGACGTATTGATGTCTCTGTGCATAAGCTTAATGCCAGGAATGCGTTGAAGTGAGTGGAGAAAAGCTCCACATATTCTGTCATTGATGGGGATGAATGGTAGCCAGTAGACGCTGTGTAAGACGTTGTTTGGGTCCCAAATCCGGTCTCTAGATGGTGGTGACAAGGAGAAAAGTCCCTGCTTCTGCCGAGAATCAAATTCCTATTTAACTGATGACCTTAGTAATCTCATTAGCTACATCTGATGATCATTTGTTTCCTTTACAGAATCAGTATTTTACTGCTGAAAAATTGACCGTCGGTCTAACCAATGGCAGACAATCACACAGGCGAAGAGCTGTCTGCTCAGTTCAGAGATGCTTCCAGGTTCTGGATACAGCGTGTGTTTGTGCCCCTGGTGGTGGGGGTCGGTCTTCTGGGGAATGTAGTTACCATCGTAGTCTTGACACGCAGAAGGATGCGCAGCTCCACCAATGTATATCTGACAGCCCTTGCTGTGTCAGATCTCCTCTACCTCATGTTTGTCTTTACTCTCTCATTCATGCACTACCCCAGCATACATGGACCCTCATACCAATGGTACTGGCACTATTATGGCTTTGGAATATGGTTCACTGATGCAACCAGTAAGTTTCAGGCATTCTCTATATGGAAAATGTAGTATATACACTGATTAATTCTGGACACACACATTTTCCATCACATCACAATTTTATATTTCCAATTTTGAGCCAAATAAGTGCATTTTTACATGTCTGTATGTCTTCTTACCGTCTTATAAATTTTGTCATCATAATATGACAAAATTATGCTTCTCAAGGGTTTATTCTCATTTAAATACTATTATTTCAAATTGTGTTATAGATGGTATGTATATTCATGTCTTGCATACCTTGTTACAACTCTCTGACTGATGTCAATTATGTATTTGGGTTGTTATGCCATACAGATGTGAGCAATGTTGGAGACTTTTGAGGCATATGCTGCCTCAATTTTCAGTGTCAAAATGCGTAGGTTACTGAAATTCTGTGCACATATAGCGTTCTGTTTTGAAAAGTAACAGGGGTAAAGGGGAGCTAGAGTTTGGATTGGTGCCAAATCGCCACTCTATTTGCACCAATCCCACATTGATTCTCAAAAGAGAATGCTACGTAATATGCTAATTCCCACCGTATGTTGCCCCCCCTAAACCCCCTGCTTTTCAAAACAGAACGTTGAGTGTAGAAGGAAACTCACCAACCTACACATTTTAACCCTGGTGATGGAGGCAGCATGTACCTTAGAAACGTTTTTATATTGTCCACATCGAGATGGAACATCAATAATTAAACACTGTGGAAGCTTGAAATCAATAATTTTCCAACTGGAAATCTTATGATCAGTGTACCTGATGTAGTCAAAGATAGCTTATGCCATACACATGCTTGAAAAAAGTGAAAAGTTGTTTGCTGTACTATTCATATCTCATTGGCCTTGACTTTAATTTGTTTGACTAATTACTTAAATCCGCAGGAACATGGCAGCGTAGTGGTTGAGGGGCTATGCTACAAGCCAAAAGGTCGCAGGTTCAAGTCCCGATGAGGTCATTAGATTTTTTTCAGTTGACCTAATCCTTCCAGCCGCACTAGGCCCTGGGGTTTACTCAGCCTCTAACAGAAATGAGTACCAGGAATTAAATAATTTTCCTGGGGAGTAAAGCGTGGCCGGTGTGTAAGGCTGACAACCTTACCGCCATATTCAAGCCAATTGTCTAGATAGTGTGGGACCCTCAACGTCTCACAACCCTATGGGCCTTCACGGCCTGGTACAGGGACAGAAGCTAATAGTCACTCGCCTAGTCAAGGAATTTCCCAAACCTGGGAACCTGGAACATGATGATTCAGCGTTGTGTTCTGATATTTTCATGCCTTGGCCCTAGCTTCACCCAGATGACTCTAGTTCCGCACCCTCCCACCAAATTTCTTTAAGACCCATTTTAATGTTACCCTCAATTTATGCATTACTGTCCCATGTGGTCTAATATTTACAGTTTTCTGATTAAAATTATGTGTGTACATGTCCCTCCATTCTGTCCTTTATTTCATGATCCTAATGATACCCATATTTGCAAAGGAGTACAAATTATTAAGCTCTTCTATACAATTTTCTATGAAAAGTTAAAGATGTAAATCTATATTATATGTCATATGCAATTCTTACTACATAAAATTTGTTTCATGCAATACATTGGACCAACTGAGATCTAAAATAAATTCATGTGACAACTTCTAATGTAGACCCCAACACCAGATTTGTTCAAAACCAATTAAGGAGCTTCAGAAATGAAGCATGCTAGTAGGGTGATACTACATCCATATTATCTACGTATTCATTTAATCTAATGAATCATTTGTATCACTGGCCATTAGTTGCTGTGTCTTTCCCTTACTCCCCAGCCATAATTAGGTCTCATAAAAACAAAGGTAAATGTTAGAATGTAAATTGTAAAATTGTCCCTGTGCTTAACAAACTAAGCACTACACCATGAAGGCATATGATAGAGAGGCTGTATAGATTCACGTTTTCTTGGCTTCAGCTGTGCTATCCCAGCTGCTCCATAAGAACAAAGGCTTATCAGTAATGTTGAGCTTAATGTTCTCAACCTCATATTGTGTTTATACGAAAAGCTCATATTCGTATAACTACTTAACACAACAAAATGCAACCACTCAAAATCATCTCATAAAGTTTAGTTGAAAACCAACGAGAAGAATGTCATGCAATGGGGGGTGGGCCAGTTCCAGTTTTGTTATGCAGCACAGAGCCAAGTGACCTTCAATACTGGGCAAAGACTGAGCTAGCTCTTCATCTTCATCTTCATCTTCATCTTTGTTGCTTATTACTGCATATACTTATGTTGCCTTGTTTATGTACCACTTGTTCAGCATTCAAACCACCCATTTTCCTTGGCTAAACAATGAACTGTGACAATGCTGTAATGCACTAAACTGCTTAGTACAGAAATATCTCATACCACAGCCCAGCAAAAACTAAGGGCCCCAGCTGAAGGTTATCCTCAACCCCTAGAGTGACTGGCTGTTGTATTTCCTATGGAAGGTAAAGTTTCGTAAGAAAAGGTGTGGACTATAGTATAAAAACCCATTAAAATGCAAGAAGGAATCATTCCTTTCATATCTTCATCCTTCATTCCAACTCTTCCTTTTCTTTAACCCTTTTCCTTGTTCCCTTATTTCTCCTTTAGAACAGTGAATTAAGTTACATCTCCACCCTTTGAATGACCCAGTGTCAAACACAGAAATCCCACTTCTGTAAGTGAAAACTACTATGCTGTGAGGACCCACAGACAGGCACACAGAGAGACGTACACACACACACAAGAAGGCATACACATGCAAAGAGAGAAACCATATATATACAACAGATAACAACAGATAAAAATTTAAATTTTTTTTTTCCCCTGGATCATATTTAGTCTCTCTTATAAGAGATTTAAACCACTGGTTCCAAACCTGTCAACAAAAATCCTCTAGCTCATAGAGTTTCTGAGGCATAAGAAAATGAAATGTCTAATGTTTGGGAATTCAGTTACTTTTATTTATTATTACATTACACAGCTGATATAGAAAAATATAACAGGAAATACTTACTTATATTTAGAGTAATATTAAACGTACACAGTGTGTCCAGGTTCTATTAGGAGTGTGTACATTAAAAATACAAGACATGAATTATTTTCAAAATTTCACTCTTTTTATTCAAAATAGTCTCCTGAACCAATACATAGCTGGAATCGATTGAAAAGTCTTCGAAGACAGTCACTGTACTCCTTTTGTGGAATCGCACCTAAAACTCCGGTATATCAACTTTCGATGTCCTGGTTGGTGTCGTGACGGTCTCCTTTCATCGCCAACTTAACTTTTGGGAACAACTAGAAATCTGCTGGAGCAAAATCTGGTGAATATGGAGGGTGATCAAGGACCGTGTTCCCTTTTCTGGCCCAAAAGTCGTGCACGATCTTCGATTGGTAGAGTGGGGCATTGTCACGGAGGAGCGACCAGGAACCTTGCTCTCGCTATTCAGGTTTAATTGGAAGAATTTTCGTCCACAAACGATTGCGGACTCCAAAATAATAATCAGAATTCTGGCAGAAATTTCTTGTGAATCATTCCTTTGGAATCGAAGAAAACGGTTAGCAGTGTCTTTACTTCACTCTTTTGCATGGCACTTTCTTTGGCTTCGGCTTCTTTGGGCTCATCCACACTGCACTCTGCCGCTTTGTGATAGGCTCATATTGAAAGCACCATATCTTGTCACCAATAACAATCGATTTTGTAAATTTTGTATCACTTTGGGCCGACCGTAACATATCTTTGCAGTGCTCCACTCCGGCATGTTTTTCATCGCCTGACAGCGCGTGCGGTACAAACTGCACACAGACCTTCCGTTTGCCAAAATCCTCCGACAAAATTTGATGCACAGTATTGGTATTCCCAAAAGCTCTTCGATGAGTCTTGCAGAAACTCATCTGTCTGATGCAAGGATTTCGGTCACTTTTTTTCACATTTTCTTCAGTTCAACTTGTTCTCAGCTTTGATGCACATGGGGCGACTTCAATGTCCTCCCTGCTGTCACGATATACAGCATACCATCGAAAAATGTTTGAGCGACTCAAACAATCACTACCATACACACTTTTCATCATTTTGTACGCTTCTCCGGCTGTCTTGCCTAACTTTAAACAAACTTTGATGTTGCCTCTCTGTTCAACCTCCATTTTCCGATGAGTGTCAGAACAGTACTGTTACATTCAAGGTCAGAACACATGATGCAGCGATGCTTGCACTTTAAAATTATAAGACAGCCACAGCTGAAACTTCAAGAATCTTAACGCAACAACTTGCCAACAAATGGTATTGTAGGGCAAAATAAAAAAAAAATAGTCCTAACAGATCCTGGGCATACAGTGTATGAAAGTAGTTTATATGTGTGTACCACTTTTCTTTTTGTCCTTTTGCCTCCCTCCCTCCCTTTTTTAGTGCATTCTGATATCATCAATCCAACCTTGGTGTCCACACTGTGGAAGGTGGGCAGCAGGCAGTATAGGATAGCCTCATTAGAGAGAAACACTGGAATGATACTAACGTTGTTGTGGTCCAACAGTAGGCTCTTGCAAGCTCAGTGATGGACTCTCAGATTCAGATCTTTGTTGCTGGTTGAATAACTATAAACTGTTCAAGGAAGATCATGTACCTACTTTACCATTCACCTGTGTGACACGCTTATGTTCTTTTCAGCTTATACATCCATATGGCTGACTGTTTCCTTCACTGTTGAGAGGTACATTGCAGTGTGCCACCCAATGCGTGGCCGGTTAATCTGCACAGAGTCCCGTGCCAGGAAGGTGATTGTGTTGGTGTACTTCTTCTGCTTTGTGACTACAGTAACCACCCCCTTAGAGTATGAAGCAATTGTGACACAGGACCCTAAAGACAATTCTACCCAGATTTTCAGTTCGAACTTTACCAAAATATATCACAACAAGACTTATCGCACTGTGTTCTACTGGTTCACAACAGTCACCTTCATATTTGTTCCACTAATTCTTCTTGGAATTTTCAACTCATTCCTGATCCATGCTGTTCACAAGAGTCAGCAGCAGCGATGCAGAATGACACAGGTCTGTATGCTGAGCAAAAACTGGACACCAGTTATCCAGCGGATTAAGTACGGAATAAGTGGGCTCAGAGCAAGGTCTAATGGTGAGCTATTTTGAACAGCTTTCAGGAAAGGAAATTGTGACTCTGTGCTATGGATTTATAACAGTTAGCTGATTACTTAAATGTTTAGTTAATTAATGTTCAGGTATGATGTCTTTAAGAGAGCAGGTTGTGGGCTACACTTACTGAAGCATGCATCCAGCAAAGACAGCAAATAATTACACTGCACTAATTGTTTTCATACAAACAAAAGTCCTGAAAATTCTTCATGATTTGGCATGGCAGTACTTGTTATTCATATTATGCTCTGGTAGATAGGAATCAACATTTTGAAAAAGTATACTGCCTTAATCTACAGGGTTGAAGAATTAAGGCCATAAGCCAACCCTGAGGATGGAAGCAGCCTGCTTATACGAAACGTTTCTATTCATCTACCATGCAGAATACCACACTTTGAATATTCACTACTGCAAAAATCTGAAATCTTATAAAATATTGTTATGTTTCAGGTTGAGCAAAGTGATAGCATCCAGACACAGGAAAATAAGATTACCATAACTCTAATTGCTGTGGTGATCCTGTTTATGGTTTGCCAGATTCCTACTGCCATTACTCTAATTTACAATCTATTTCACCAGCCACCTATGAATTCGGTTGAAGAGAACATTGGTCTTGGCTTAGGGAATATTTTTAACTTCCTTGTCACTGTCAATGCATCTTGTAACTTTATGCTTTACTGTGCTTTGAGTGATAAATACCGGCGAACGTTTCTACTTACGTTTCTGCCATCATGTTATCATCCTCCAAGCCCAAGTCGCCACAGTACTGTATTCAGCTCATTGTATGATGGCCGATCTACACTTCGTCAAAGTGTGCACACATCTTCCATTCGTGGCTGTAGCACAAATGGTGACAATGTGAAGGCATTCAAACGTGCTTCAAACTATAATGCCAGGATCCAGAACAACGAAGCTCAGCCATCTCTGCATCCAGCCGAGAATAATGTTCCATCACTGTTAGTTGAATCACATTACAACTGGTCATCTTTTATTCTGAAATAATATAAACATTTCTACACACAGGCATAGTTATAGATGAGAATGAGAAAAGGTGAAGTAATCTTCAATAGGTAACCAATAAATCAGAATATATGGAGAAATCACCGAGAACATGGCGAAGTTCAAATATCATGCCATGAGAGTAATAAATTAAAATGATATTCATGTCAAAATTAAAGGCAAATGAAATTCAGTTCAGAATCTTATTTAAATGCCTAAAGGTTGAAATATGCAAAACGGTAATTTTATCTGTTGTTTTATAATGCAGGGATGTAACACATTTTCACTGTCTGGTGGCAGTTTGCTCTCAGACATTACTAACCAGTAAACTAATAAAAAGTTAAGCTAGCCATCAGTGTTGCTCCAGTTCTGCCTGGTGGACTTAATGAGATAACTACTGCTGCACATTTCTGAGATTTTTTTTCTTCATATTCTTAGTTTGTGCATGGTTTTGAGAGCAGCACAGAAACACGCTTCATTTTAGATGGGTTCCTAATTTAATTTAAAATAATGAACAAGGTAATAAAACATTGTGTTTTCTTGTTAACTTTCTCTGTTCAGCTACACTAACGGGTAATCATATGCAGAGTATATACATGAAGTAACAGCAAAAATATATCTTACTAAGAAGCATTATGGCTTAGTGAAATAATGGAATTTAATAAATGAGTAGTGGCTCCAGATGAAAACATAGAAAAACTTGTAATCGTGGGTAATAGCCAAAGTCTCAGTGGTGCCATATTTTACACCAGTGCATTGGTTTTGTCACACATGCACTAAGGGAGGAACATAGATTGTGTTTCAGAACAGTGTTGGGGGATATTTGAGGATAAGTAGGCGGAAGAGATGAAGGTTAGAGAAAACGATATAATGAGAAGGTTCATAATTTGTACTCTTCGCCAAATATTATTGGGGTGTACAAATCGAGGATGATAGGATGAGCAAGAATAAAGGAGCATGAGAGAATGAAAATCTAGGACAAAATTATGGTCATAAATCCGAAGGGAATAGTAGCTCTAAGTGTATTTTATTTATCAATGTAAAAGGGAGAATAATACTAAAATAAATCATAAGAAACAGTATGAAGGGATGGATTGTATTGTATGAGGGAGAGTCATTAAATAGGCCACAAATGGAAGCAAAACAGTTGCAATGGACATAATAGGTTTTCTGTGAGTATCACTAGGTTGCAGCAAATTCGGTTTCATGCCAGTCTAAGTAGCAGAAGTGCATGCACATGTTCAGAGGCTGGTTTCAGTAGTCAAAATGGTGACTGAACTTGATGAGAGTACTATCAAAGAGCAGGGTTCTGTTGTGTGTTTTTCGTGGGCAAAAGACTCAATGAAAGGGATATTCACACAAAAATGTTTCCTGTTTATGGTGGGAAGTTTTTGTCGCATAAAGCGGTTTACAACTGAGTCAAATTCTGTCAAGCACATTCAGAAGTCGCAGATAATGCCCAACCAGATCTCCTTCTTAAGATTTCCACAGAAGCAGCTGTTGCAGCAGATAGAACAGTTGATTTAGCTGACAGGAGGATAACGATAGACAGTGTAGCAACTGCACTAGGGTGTTCCCATCATTTAGCATAAAGCATAATGCCTGATCATTTGAAGTTTTGGAAAGTGTGCGCACAGTGGGGGTGGGTGCCCAGAGAATTGAAGGATCGAAGAAAAATTAACTGAATGGGCCTCTTACGGTATGCAGATGATGGAGAAGATACTTGTATGTTTAACAGGATTGTTACTGGAGACAAATCATGGGCGCATCACTACCAATCCAAATCAAAACCTGCTTCAATGCAATGGAATCATCCCAGTTCACCTTCAACCAAACAGTGTAACGTAATGAGTACACCATCAGCTGGGAAGGTTATGCTTATCTTGTTTTGGGGATCTCAGGGAGTATTGTTAGCCCATTTTCAGAAGCATGAAGAAAATGTGAATTCTGCATCGTACTGTGAAATTCTGCTGAAGCTTCAGGAAGCAATTCACAGAAAACATCCAGGCCAATTGCAACAAGGGTACTGCTTCATCATGACAATGCCATACCCCAAACAGCTTGAACAACCCAGAAGAGAATTGAAGAACTACAATGGGAACTTCTTGAACATCTGCCTTACATTCAAGACATTGACCCTAGTGACTTCCATCTGTTTGGTCCAGTAAAAACTACCTTGGTGGCAAAATCTCACTGGTGATGAAGAGGTTGAAATGGAGGTGCAGAAGTGGCTAAGACTAGAGTCAGAAACTTCTAGGCTGTGGGTTTTGATGCAGTGGTAAAGCGATGGGACAATTTATCAATGCTGGTGGAGGCTATGTCAAAAAATATATGCTTTTCCCAGGTTTGAATATCACATATTTTATGTTTTATATCAATTTGTGACCTATTTACTGACTCTCCCTCCTATAAACTCAGAACAGAGTCCAGTGGGAGGCCTCTGTGGACATAGTAGTAAATATCTGTTCCAGAAGAGCATACAGAAACACAGCAAACAAATCAAATCTCATCCAAAAATGTCTTGGCTTAAATTTAATATTGGCATTTTCTCCATACTGCATGTAACATTCTTATTGACACAGCTCACTCAGTCTCAAGACTCTGTGAAATGGGGTACACTACTCAAAGGTGATAAAATATGACAAGTTTTGTATTTCACTTTCTAACTCAGCTGTGGATACAACTACTTATACCTTATGTGATATTTAAATAAGAATAATATTCATTAGGCTTATTAAACAGAATCATATAATGATATATTTGTTATATGCTGAGTCATCTCAGAATTGTTAATAGGTAACACCGACAGGCTGGTGTAACAATAGAATGAAGTAAGTAGTTCAAATTTCTGCCAACCTAATGTTTTTCGGTATTCTCATTGAGGTTCATATCTCCAGGTAAATGCCTGGACTGTACTTGCAAACATGCCATTACTGTTTCCTTCCAAATCCATATCCCATTCAACACCCACTAACTAATGTGTTTGAAAATATATCTTTAAGTAACATATAAATCATATAATGCAAATTAAAATACATATATATGCTTAAACAAACAGCCATCCAGAAGAAATAGAGTCTGAGGAGGAGTATGAGGAGATCCCTAAGGAAGAGGCCTCAGTGGAAACTTTTAGAGCACTAAAGGAGCAGTATGGTGACCGGAATCTAGCCTTAGGGCACCGAACGCCTAAGAAACGGAGCCAGGGAGAGGATGGGTCCCGGAAGAATTTGGCCTCTGCCCGTAGATGGATGACCCGCTGTGCAGGAACGGCAAGGCATATGGGACGCGATAATAAAGGACCGGCGGTCAAACAAAGGCAACGGATGCGCGAGGAAGGCAGCAACAGAATAAGGGCCCAAGACTTCAAGGAGCAACTATGTCTTAGGAAAGAGAGGGCATTTGGCAGGATCTTCGTGAAGACCGTAGAGCTGGAGGTCGCAAAGCGAATAGTCGGAACTTCCATTCGACTGTGGGAAGTGAATGTTAAGATATTTTGGAAACGGAAGAAAAAACTGCACACAGAATAGGAGCTCGAGATGTAGAAGTATGGACCGCTATCGGGAATTTCGTCCCACCAATCGGAAAATCAGGATGATGGTGATACGCCCTGATCGGCTCTCACTTTATCAAAGAGCCGCTGAAGATGAGCGGCCTTGATGGGGAGCAGTCGGAGAGTAATCATCGTGATAACCGAGCCACGGGGAAGATGGGTGGGACCAATCACAGCCCTCGGAAAAGAAGAAATGCCTGTACGCCTGTAGACTATTCGGGATAAATAGCCATAAGTAGGAAGTAATGTGGTGTACAGACCCGTTCATAGGCAAAGAAAACGAACACAAACAAGAAGACAGCAGCCGTTGCTAGGCAGAAGATTCTTAACAAGCAATAGTTGATCTACAATAATAAAGGAACTTTTGGAAACAGAGTTTTATACTTGGTCCGTGCAAAGGGAAGACACCAGCCGAACTAGAATTAGTTGAAATTCAGTCTTGGAAGAGAAGTCCAGGAGGTAGATGTGAAATGGCCACCAGCCTCAGAGTTAGTTGAAGCACCGAGATAATTGTAAAGGAGTCTGTGACAAGAAGACTTAGTCGGTGGAATTAGCACAGGAGCTGAAGAAGCTCCACTGTTAAAATCCGTTACAAGGAAGTGTTTAGTGAAGACAGAGAAACCTTTTTGAGTACTGTAGTTACAGTGATATTTGGAGTGTGTAATTCAGTGAGACTTATAGTTCCTGTGTTAAAATCCAGTGAAAGGAAACAACTAGTGGATACAGAAGGCTTTATATTTGCTGTAGTTACAGTCATATTTGGAGTGCGTAATTCCATGAGACTGTTATAATCACTTGTAGTTACCATCCATAAGTGGTCAGTAAATCCAACATCCAACCCAAAAATTCTGTCGAGAGTGATTCTAACATGTGACAATATCAAAATTAAGCGCATTTGTGTGACTAGAAACAAATCATGTACCGACCCATAAATTTTGTCGCTTACAGCTTGAAAAGAATAAATTGTAGATGGGGTACATAACAAAGCAAAACAAAGTAAGTAGAATGGCATTATATGACATGATGGAATAGCTTAAAAGAGACGTCATTCATTGCTATGCACCAGCACGGTAAATACTCTAGTTGCTCCACAGCAACCAGGAATCAATGACTATCACACAGTATTTTCTGTGCGGCCCTCACCGTTTTCTATGTGGTCTGTCCCAAGGCTACATAAACAGAACAGAGAGGCAGTTTACAGCCAGGAGGCCATCAACGAGATTAAATAAATAGCAGTTAAACAACAGCTGAACTCTAAAGACCATGTGGACATGGGTTCAGATACCTCCACCGCAGTTCTACGAATGATAAGAGGTGACTAAAAGGGATTCCAGTGCCTGGGGGTATAATTGGGCCACCCTGTTTCTGGGGAACACAGGACCTCACCCTCCAGGTTGAAATCTCAAATCTGAGAGAGTAAAATATGGTCATGAGTCCCATGGCACTCGGTCCAAAGAATGACTATGCCGGTGAGGGCCAACGGCAAATGTAAATGACAGACTGACAGTCAGAAGGGGCATCCCACAACAATAATCCAGCAGCTGTCTGACAATAACAGAAATCTGGTCTTGGGCCCCATATGGAGCTTGACACCAAGAGAGACTTATCAGCTGCCCATCAGTCATAACATGACCTTGACTTCGAATTTGACTTGAGAGCCAGTGTGTGTGGAAATTCATGGCTAAAAGGCTGTTAGTTAATTAAGAGTTGCTAATTGAATTAGTTAGTTTTGAGACAGCCGCAAGCCAATAAAGATTAAGCGTAAAACATTGATGGATCCATTACCAGGCAATGGCTAGTTAAGACATAGAACACTTTGCTGTAATAAGTATAGTGGGCAAATTAGTGAAAGTGTTGTAATTACTTGTAGTTACGATTTATAAGTTTTCAATAAATCCACTTACCAATCCAAACTCCATATCTAGTCTCTGATACATGACATTATATTATTATTTATCTAGTAGGATAAAGATACAGTACATTTTGCATGAAAAACATCGTACATAAACTCAGTCTTTATCTGTTTCAGCTTGCTGAAACCACCGCCAAGGACGCTGAATTGTGACAGTACTGGGGACCTTAATTTCTGAGTGTGAGTTTGAACTATAAATGGATACCAGTATGTTGCTATGATGGTTTTAATCGTTTCCAAGAAATTATACTCTCTTCATTAGGCTTGCAACAATGGACACATATCTTGAGCACTACCATCTTAATTCCATTCAAAGGAAAGTAGCAGTTTATATACCATTCCTCATTGTGACTGGTGGACACTATATCTTGTATCCTGTGATTATGTAAATGTTCAGGAGTTCTTTTTTTTTATCATGCTCCTCATTTGTTGTGAGTGGAATGAGAAGAGAATAGACAACTTGATGATGTTTCTTCCTATAATCATAAAGCAGTGACCAAGACAGCATTCAACATATGTGTCTTTGTGAATTATTAAATAATTTGTTTGAGAATATGTTTTCAAGTGCCAGTCATTTACCAATAAACACTTGGCTGATTAACTAGCTGAATAGTTTGATACTGAAGAAGCATTCCAGCCTATTGTGAACAATTTGTACCTGCTACAAGCCAGTTACATCAGAAGAGCATACTTGCATTAAAACTATCATAGCTAAAGAGATTTGCTTGACATTAATTACTTAGAGAGCATTTCTGTCAAGATATGGCATCAAGGGTGGTATATTGATGTTTAGAAGAAACAACAGACTCTCACATGGGGTGGTTTGAAGGTAATCTGTGGAAATACTGCATTTCTGTGCAACTGTTTTTTAAAATAAACAGCTTTGTCATTTCTAGAGGGAAAGGCTTGGCAGTCAGAGGGATAAAAACATGTTAAGCATTGTAATTATGTGATCTGGCCAGTGCTTTGTAGCCTGCAGAAACATTGAAAATAAAAGTATAATTCCACTGATTCTATATGTGTTTTAAATGTGAAGGCATTACACTGGAAATTACATGCAACAAGAAACACAAATTAGAGGCACAAAAATGAATACAAAATTCTGGAAAACCTGAAGGGAATAGACTAGCTGGAAGACCTAGGTGTAGATGGGATGGTAATATTAAGATCGATCTTCAGAGAATATGGTGTGAAGTTGTGGACTGAATTCATCTGTTACAGGATAGGGTCCAGTGGCAGGATGCTGAAACGCAATAATGAAACTTGGGGTTCTATAAAGATAATTTCTTTATGGACTGAATGACTATTATCTCCTCAAGGTCTCTCCTTCATGAGTTAGTGTGTCAGTAAATATAAATCATGTGTCCATTAGCTATTCAGACAATCAACTCTTCCCTCTGTAAAGGTCTAATATATACTACAAATATATTTGACATAAAATGCACATCACTGAGTTTTACACATGTGTATTCTCCATCTCAATGAATACTCTAATTAGTTTAGTAAGAGAAATTAAAACAGGCCTTGAAATAATGTAACACTTCTGGTTTTTTATATAATGCAATATTTTAGTTTCATATTTTATTTAAGAGAATTCCACTTTATTGAATTGTGTGATGATATGTTTGCTTTGTTAAGAAGGTGAATTCTCAAGCCAAGCCATATAAATAATACCATATAATAAATACCCTGAATATACACATGTACAGATCTGCACATAATTCATATAAATATTTGGAGCCATATATAAAGACTAGGAGCCAGAATAAAAGTGAAAACACATTGGGTGAGAAATTAGTTTGTGGGATTGTCGTCATGTGTGTGTAGTCTTGTCGCTACTCCGATGACAACCCACTTCTTCGGAACAATTTGTTGGCCCTGAAAAGGACCGTGGCTGCTGAGATGGTTGATCGGAGAGGTAGCGCGGCGCGCGCTGGAAAGGCTGGTTGCGGTGAATGGCTAGTGAAAAGGCTAGTCGTTGAGCGCGGTCGTGGGAGCCATGAGGCAGTGGCTACGCCAGATGCCTAGTGAGTCAGACCGTAACACGACCACCGGCGAGTCCAGGCGCGGTGCCCCAATGAGTCGGGTGTGAGAGCGCTGGACGGCCGAGGCAGTCGTGCCTGGCGCAGCCTNAAAAAGGAATAACTGAAACATCTGCGTGTAAACAATATCCAGTTCTGTTATATTTTAGCGTCCTTTTGCACTGATTTATGTCCATGATTTATTCTGACCGTCTTACAGTGCATACATTTATTCACCTTACTCTTCTCTCTTGCACTACATGTTTCAGCAGAAAAGTGTCATCTTCAGGTGCTTTTCGATGTACGTCGAACTACTTCATTGCATGCCCTGTTGTCTTTATACTAAAATAACTAAAATATATATTCGTCATATATATTGATAAATTTTAAATATTAAAAATATTAAAACTGTTCAGGATTTGTCATCCTTATGTCGTATCTCAATACGCGAGTCACACCTATCTTCTTCTATCGGAATATTCTTCCTACTTTCATGTGTGTGTATTTCATGTGTGCACAATATCTGCCCTTGAAACTTTCCACAGATCCTTGCATTCTTTCACCCCTACCCTAGAACATTGTGTAAGCGTAACGGGACCAAAAAATGCAGAGCTCGGGTTCACACAAGTGCAAAAAAAAAAGTGTTACAGCTCACCATGTGAAACAAAAGTGAATGAATATTAAACAACATATAAGCATCAGAAAAGCCCCGGTTAAGCCGCAAACCGGTTTATCCGCCCCCGGATAATCGAAAGTTGAGTGTAGTTAGAAATTATTTATTAGAATGCAATATATTGAACAATGAAATGCATAAAAATTCTATTTAAAAGCATGTGACTAATGAAACATGAAACTAGCAATGAAACTGTTATAGAACAACATAAAGGATCATAATTAGGGTTTAAAGTTTGTAAAGAATGTAGGCAATGCATCTTCTTGTTCTTCAGCTGGTGAGGGAGAAGAAGAGATATCCACAAATGAAAAGGATTGAAGTGATGGGTTTCTTACAGTGATGGGGAAAGACGTTAGCGACGAAATGGTCCCATGCATGGGATCCTCGTTGATTTTCATAGGATATCTGTGTAGAGTGCCTTGGCGCACCTAAAAAATTATATTACTAATAGCTTTCTCAGGTAAAACTCTTTGCTGAGGATCTAGTGTATTGATTTTCATAACCCAAGCCTTGGCAATAGTCGGGATATTTTCTTGGGGTTCCCTCAGTTGGTCCAGATATGAACAAGCTTTCTGTAGAAGCTCATTTTGTTTGGCAATTGGTCCAAGTATACGTCGTTTCTTGGGTGGTGGTGGTGGAAGAATTGATGATCGTGATGGGTAGGGGCTGCTGGTGTCAGGAATTGTTCTCCGTGTACCTCATCGTCTGTTCCATTATGAGTGTCCTGAATATAGATAAAAATTGTTTTTATTATTGTTACTAAATGTATACTGTATTTATACATTTGTTATATTTAAATTTGACTTTTTTTCCCCCATTTTCCCAGAACTCCTGAGGAATGGGTTAATATCGCGAGTGATTTAAGCCATCTTCATCAATTTTGGAATACCGTTGGGGCAATTGATGGCAAACATAGTCATTAAAAACCCGCAAAATCAAGTTCCTCATACTACAATTACAAAGGGATCTTCAGCATCGTGCTGTTAGTTGTGGTAAACGCAACAAAGGAATTCATCATGGTAGATGCTGGCATGAATGGACGAATATCGGATTTCTGTACTACTCAAAATTTGCGGAACTTTTACGGCAAAGAGCCCTGAATTCACCAAAACCCACGCCATTACCAAACACAGCTGAACATTTTCCGTATGTGTTCGTCGCGGACGAGGCATTTGCATTAGATGTAAATTTAATGAAACCCTACTCTCAGAAATGTCTGAATGAAGCTCGATATGAATTCAATAAAAGATTGTCAAGAGCTCGTGTAGTTGTGGAAAACACTTTCGGAATTCTGGATTCCAAATTTGGTGTATTTCAGAAACCAATCAGCCTTGAACCGCAAAAGGCCAAAACAATTAGAAGTACAATGGCTTGTTGTTACGTGCACAATTTCCTTGCTAAGGAAAGTAATCAAATATATTTTCACCCAAATGAAATAAGTACTGATGAATACGACATTGCGGATTTACAAACACTCTGAACAGAAATTGTACCTCAGATGCAAAGAAAATCTGAGATAAATATTGCGAGTACTACAACAATGAAGGCAAATCGCAGTATTTACCATTTGTAGCAGCAGGAAACACCAGCGACTTATGAAACTTTCTTTGTATGTGTTTGATTACAGAATGTAAAAATAAAGTGTATTAAGTGCTTGAAAAAAAATGTTTTTTCTTAGTTCAACGATAATAAAGGAAATAATAATATTCATAATAAATTCTGCCAAGCTATGAGAACATAGATCAGTATTCCTTGACAAGAGCCCAGGCCTGTTGTTTTAACGAGAGTAGCTGGAATCGTGAATGTGACCCCATAAGATATTCTGGGGTTCATCTCCTCCCCGGTGCTTGTGTGTGTTTAAAGCACTTTTGGTTCAGATCGGTCAAAGGGTTTTGTATCTATAATCACAAAATCTCAGTGGGATGAAATTACGGGTGGAGGATTATATGGGGTTTCATGGTGGCGTGCATTAACCGCAGAGCCAATTTCATTTAAATCTTTGACAAAAAAAAAATCTGTTGCCTATCCACCTAGCTTGAAAGACCCGGCATTGCCCAGTTTCTGGCTTCTCTTTGTAAGAAATATACTGTTAGGCCGTTTGTCCAACTTTAAGACCATTTTGGGCACCCATTAAAATTTTGATGACCCTCAACTTTGAACTCCCCTAAAAATCCTGATGACCCCTTATGTAAAATTTGGACACACCTTGACACACGATACATGCAGAGGTTCTAATTTTTACAGTAACACAAGGGCCATGACGCAGAATTCTCTATTATGTATAGAGATAAAAATTATTATTGATAAAATTTGTATATGTAGGTACTTACCTCGTCTACCTGCTGTACATTGGCATTGACTGGTTGCTCAAATTTGACGAGAAACTGGAGGGCATGAAATACCCAGGAAGTAGGCTAATACAATTCATCCGTACTGCTTCCCGATCTCTTAGATGTCAGAACTTTCTTTAATTCCTTCCTGTAGTTACAGCAAAGCGTGTTGATTTTTCGTCTCACATCAGCGTGAGTAGCCACTGGTTTTATTTTAATGTATAATATATTCAGCAATTTGTCCAAGGCTATATTTATTTTTGTCTTATTTAAAGACACTGGGTTAGTGGGGTTCCACAGTTCCGGTAGGGCTTCATATGTCTCTATGAAGTTTCGAAGAACTTCAACCTCTTCTGCATTCGCCTCACTTATAGGGGATTCAGTGACGGAGAACTCTCTTTCGCTGTCCATGTCTAGTTATTGTCACTCTGACTCCACAAAGCAAACTGAGTAATGAAGGAGTAATGACGCGCGCACTCTACACCCTCTACACCTCTACACGGTCATTACCGTCATTACTAATGACAGTATCCTCATGATCCCCAGTGGCCTCCGTAGTCTAGGGGTAACGTTCCCACCAGCGTACCTTGAGTTCAAACCCGGCGGATGTCGTGGAATTTTTAAGGGCGGAAAATTTCAGGGAACAAGTCCACCGGGGGAGACTTTAAGCCGTGGGTCCCGTGTCGTAGATTTGCGGCACGTAAAAGATCCTCATGTCTCTAGGAGACCTCTGAGCAAAATTAGGCAACAATTTCCCGCCCAAGTAGTCTCCAATGCCTCTGGTAGATGGGGGAAATATCAAGTACCGACGGCCGACCTCGTTGGCTGAACGGGGCTGATAGCATGCACCATCAACCTTACACGATCATTATTAATGCCATTCCGATCAGGTAATGACATTATTACTGATCGTGTAAGGTCCGCTTCAGAAAATCCGGAATCGCATCATTACTGACCATCATTCCAGTTCCATCAACCTTACACGATCATTATTAATGTCATTCCGCTCAGGTAATGACATTTTTACTGATCGTGTAAGGTCCGCTCGAGAAGTCCCGTTATATGTATCTGTGAAAACGAATGTTGTTTACTCCTGGCAGAAAATTCTTAGAGTTCTTCTAATTCACATAAAAGTCATGGCACAATTGTAAATGTATAGTATTATATACTGCGTTTGGGAAGAGGAAATTTTTTAATATATATATTTAGTAACAGTGCAATCAGCTATAATTCTGTGATGCCATTTACACGTTGAACGCTGCGGTTATTCCTTCGTAACACGGATCAGTTGGAGTGTGTAGTGTTCACTGACTTCACTGCTTAGGCTATAGGGCTCATAGGGCTATAGTTAGGTCAGAAACGGATTGAGATGGTTGGGTTGTTAAGAACTTCTTTTGTTTTGTATCTAATATCGACAGAGTGTTAGTGTTTATCACACATAAGCCCAGGAAATTCTGTGGTCAGTGGTCTGTCATGGCAGACAATTTAAGTTTAACAGCAGAGCAGACGGAAAAAATACTTCAATTTCAGGTAATGCTACTGAAACTTCACAAGTGGCCATGTCATCAGCTGTGTTCAACTCGTGCTGAATATGTCATATGTATATGTTTTGACCATTTGTCGAGTGAGGTTAGTTTTCCATATCTCATCATTAAGTTGCTGAACATTGTTTACCAACAACTGTTCAACCTGCCTATTGGTAGATCGTGCACAGTGCTTGCTCAAGTCAGACATCCAGAGATACCGAGAAAATGCCAAATTACGGATACGCATGTTAATTAAGTTTATTTGACAGTGATGCTGCATTGCCACTTATTTATTTCAAATATGAAACGTGATAAATGTAAGATCTGAAACTTTCACAGGAGCTAAAGTTAAAATTTCTCAGGCTGTTAGAAGTGTTAGATGGCGTTAGGTGAACCAGCGTTTCATGGACTAATTTATGTCCCCATCAGCAGGATGTGATGTAGCATAGCATTACAAACTGTCCCATATCAATACCAATCCATAGCCTGTATTTGAAAGTGTGTTAGCCAGTGGGGTGCTAATCAGCAGAATCATGAGTTTGCTTGGCTTGGTGTTGTTGCTTGATTGTTGCATCTCTGTACTGATTGATTCTCTTAATCACTGGTTATTGAAAGCCCCTGAACTCTGAGCCTGATACCAGTATTCTTTATAAAGAAGTCCATGTTTAGGTTGGCAACATTCACCATAACATCAGATCCACTGTGGAAGTGGAACAGAGCAAAGCACTATCTTACTTGGATGTTATGTTGAGCAGAAGACTGCATGGGTTGGTGGGACATACTGTGTGCAGGAAACCCACACATACAGCCCTATACCATAACTCAAGACCTGAACATCATCCATCACAGAAGCAGGCTGTACCAGCAACTCTTATTCAACATATGTGATGATGACAGCCTGAACATGGAAATCAACCACCTGAATAAGATCTTTAGATATTACTGATACAGCAGCCATGATGTCATGTGTGCCTTTGCTCCAAAGCGTAATTCACAAACATAGAAGGAAGAGATATTGGGTTTTTGGACTTTATCCATTGTCCTGGTTTTAAGATAACTAAGAAGAAGACAACACTTCGGAAACTGGATCTGTTTCCGTCCTCAGGTGAGGGAAAACACCTATTCTGTTGGGTCCCTTAGAAAGAGCTAGCCTCAATCACTGGATGTAAGAAGGAAGGAAGGGCCATTAGACATAGCTGTGATACTCTATCAACAAACTCTCCAGCACAATTAGCAGGCTTCTTGCCAACTGCAAGATTAAGATGGTTCACATTCCTGTGAAGATAATTATCTATGGCCTTAGACCTCTAAGACAGATTAGGCCTAAAAGTTTCAGGTATATATTGCATCCTGTGTGAGTGTGGCAAGGTATATGATGGCCAGGTGGCAGAACCATGACCAGGTGTAAGGAACATATGAGACACGTTTGGGTGGGCAAGAGAAGTCAGCAATGGCAGAGCACAGTATTGCCTTCTGCAGCACATTCTTACTAAATAAAGTAACAGAATAGGTGGACCACTTGATAAAGGAGGCTGTTGATCAGGCTGTTCACCTGAGAAACATTAAGGGAGGAGGGGAGTCAGTATGTTGTTCCTAGTGCCAGATGATGAATGTGATCAAGCAGTACAGAGATACAACTGTTGTGTTTCTGGACATTATCCATTGTCCTGTTTTTATTTAAACAACATTTTGGAGACTAGATTCTGCTACTGTTGTAGCAATTATGAATGCCAAATAAAAATGAAATTAAATGAAATGTGGGATAATGACAGTACCCTGGTATATTGTATCTGAAGAAGGATGGTTGCTTCTTGATGGCTTTTGTTATGGAGTAAAATTCTTGTGGGAATTCATTAAGCATCAGGTCATATGTTATGTTCTTAATTTCAGTGTTTAAATCTTTCTGCTTCTGACAGAGATACATCAGTCCAAACACTAGACCAAACCAAGCAAACTCATGACTCCACTCACTAGTCTCAGGTTGGCTTGTGCTCAGTTTTGATCACAGGCTACAGGTCGGCATGTACGTGGTGCGTTCCATATATAATGCCTCCTATTTTTTTGTGTTAATATGTAACTTCTGAGCTGGATGTTGGTGGTGTTGTAGTAAAGGTTCAACCTTCCTGCCAACGTACTGTTAATTTGGTTGTCGTGCGACAGATAGTGACAGCCGAGCAGTCTACCAAAATGGTGTCTGACATAGAAGTGCGTATGAAAGAGAAATGTGTTATTGAATTTCTCACTGCCGAACAAATTGTACCCACTGACATCCATCGACACTTGCTAAAGGTGTACACAGACAATACAGTGGATGTCAGCACAATGTTTCGGTGGGTAGTGCGTTTCAACAGTGGTGAAAGTGAAATGCACGACAAGCCACGCCATGGGCGTCCCTGCTCAGCTGCCACTCCTCACAATGAACAGCACCTCATCCGAACAGATCAGCAGATAACGACCAGGGACTGTCAATTCTGAACACTACAAGACGACGCTGACTAAGCTGAAAGCCTGTATTTTCCGAGTCAGGCCAGAGAAGCAGACAACCTTTCACTTGCAACACAATAACACTAGACCCCATACCAGTTTGGTGACCACCGCGCACATTGCAAAGTTTGGCTGGACTGTCCTACCACATCCACCTTATAGCCCCAATTTAGCACCTTCAGACTTCCATCTCTTTGGGCCTATGAAAGACAGACTACATGGGCAACATTTTCCAGACAACGATGCTGTTATTGCAGCTGTAAGAAAGTGGCTAGCCTCTGCTGGCGCAGACTTTTACAAGTGCGGCATACAGGCTCTTGTTTATCGATGGCAAAAGTGCATAACGAATGGTGGTGATTATGTGGAAAAATAACTGTATGTAGCTGAAATCTTGCTCTATTTAACTGCATTATTATGATTTCTGTATCTGTTGTAGTTCTCTTTAAAAAAGTAGGAGGCATTATATACGGAATGCCCTTAGTAAATGAGATAGTGTGGATCCTATGCCATAACAGCTTTTGATGATGGGAACAGAGTTGGCCCCTGAAACATTAGCCATTTTGAACGAACAGACACAGCTGATACTCTGAGAAGATTTCATAAGTGTAATCAAACACTTGGGATATGTGGGTATAATGTGGTGGCCATTGTTAATGCCTTTTTCTTTCCTAGCACATAACCTTCACATAGATTTGTTTGTAAGACTAGTTTGTTACTGATAGTCACCTGAAGTAGTACTAGCAAAATTTAAGCTAATTTTTCCTCATATTTTAATATTCCTGCATATTCTACATCAGACCCACTTGTTTCATTTTACATGAAATTTGTGTTGGATGTAGTAAGCACAACTTAACGTGAAGTGTATGACAACTTTGGTGGTAAATCATGCAATGTTTGTGCATGTAAAATAGGTTTTAGCATTAGTTTACTACAGAGAGTTTTCTTTTTTTAACTTTGTTGACCCACTCACAGCTCTGCACTTCATGGCAACTGGTGTGCTGCTTGCTGCGAGGTGCATATGAATTTTGCCAATGAATTAGCATGTCTGATGACCAATAACATTTGGAATGAAGAGAAGTAATGAACTTGTGTACTGGTTGATGCATTATATTTCACAGCAAGCAGTACGGTTCATGCATGGGAGTTTGTTTATGATTTCTCAGCAGTTATCAGCTCCATTAGCCATTTGTGCTCAGTTACAGTTAGTGAGCAGTGTGGTACATCATGGTGCAGTATGCTTTAGAGCAGTGTGTATTTCTGTATGACACCTATGTGAAATATGGATCTGGAAAAAATTATGACATAAATATCTTGATGAAAGAGTTCCCAGCAGACAAACAATTCACAATATGGTAGATAGACTTAGAAGAACAGTACTCTTAATAGACAAGAAACAGAAACATTAATGCCAAGTGTTCACTGAGGATAAATTAGATGACAAAGGGGCCAGACATTGACATACAACTAGAAAATTACTGAAACATCTAGCTTAAGAGACTGGAGTGTCAAAGTCTGGTGCAAGAACCGCAACACAATTACTGAAGTTTAGACCCTATAAAACAACAGTAATCCATGCACACCTTGCAGCTGCACAATCCAGCTAGCAGGGTTCATTTTTGCAGTTGCTTTCTGTAGTCTGTTGTCAAAGGTGAGGTTGATCTGCAGTTGACATTCTTTTCTGATGAAACATGGTTCGACTTGCAAGGATAAATAAATACACAAAATAATCACCACGGGAGTTCACAGAATCCACATCTGCCCCATCGAGTGACATTTGGGCTCTGGTGTGCTGTAAGTGCAAGGATTGCTGGACCTGTGTTTTTCATAAAACAGTTAATTCCAAAAGATATGTAGAGGCCATTCTCAGGCACTTCTTTCCAGAGTTAACAGAAGAAGACAGACTATGGCTGGGTTCAGCAAGACTTGGCTACTGCCCACATTGCACATATATCTCTGCAGGCTTTGTCTGATGTCTTCAGGAACAGAATTATCAGCAGTGATATCTCGTGCACCTGACCTTAATTAAACCTTGTGACTTTTTCTTCTGGGGTTATTTGAAAGACACACTTTACAACAGTAACCCCCTGAACAGAAGAAGTAAGGGTCATTCTATGTGAAATCATCCAGAGAGGTTGCTCAACCATTTAAAAAAAATTATATTTTGTACACTTATTTCTACATATGTTCATACTTCAAAAATATTTTTAAAAGATTTTAATCTGCTCGGTTCTCCTGGTACAGCCGTTTTTATAATGCGAAAAAACGCGTCTTCTGCTGAAATGGAGGTTTGCGTTATCTTCTCTGTCTCGGTAACCATTGAAGCGAGAGACTTCAGTAAAAAACCAATTTGTTCCTCATGATATGGACCACAATTCACATCATTATAAGTTTTTACTCAACTCACTTTCTCTAGGTCTAATTAAGCTTGAAACTTACCTATCGATTTTGGGAAAATAAACCATTTTTGACCTACAGAAACCAGTGGGAGGGGGAAAGTGTCAGATATGTGGTTTTTACTCCTTGTTGTTCTCTACATGGGGAATATAATCACATAGTTTTGAGCCCTGTATCTATTTTCCAAAATTTTCCAGGAGCTTACAAACTGTGCTCTGGGTCCAAAATCGGCCATATTTTACATCTCATATCTCGATGGGAAGCTCCAAAATTTTTTAAATTCATAGCAAATAATGCTGTATTCTAGAGTAACTTGGGGTTAAAATTACAACTCTGATATTCTACTAATAACGAAGTTGTGGGCACTTTGAATTTTACCAAAAAATCATCAGGCCAGCCAGCCATGGCAGAAGCTTCCCCAGCCATCTGGTCTCACCACCACTAGCACTGGCTAGGCTGCTACTGCTTTGCCTGCCATCCCACCAGCTCTCCAGCCCCAAGCTGCCATGCAAGGAAAACCGCAAATGCTGGCAGAGGCTAGCCCACTGTGGTAGGAACTTTGCCTGGCATTCATAAAGCGCTCCCGGCTTCAGACGACCAGCCCTTTCCAGGGCCAGCAGTATCATCGCCATCATTAGCACAAGCTAGCCCACTGTGACAGGAGTTTCACTAGTATTCATTCATCAGGCACGCAGGCTTCCCTGCTCTCTATATTTTGTTAACAGCAATAAACATTTGTTATGGTTTGACATGCTTGTCTCTCCATGCCACCAGGTTCGATATCCCACACACACTTTTGGACCATGAAAGAAATGAAGAAATGAATGAGTGCTACAATTCCAATAATGCAATATACTCCAAATTGTTTAGGCTAATGAAGATGGGAGAATGCATGGACAGTCAAGAAACATCGATAATCCAAGATATTTCAGAGAAATTCAGAAATGTACACACAGAATGTGATTTGTTTAATTATCTTGAAAACTGTAAGACCTACAGAAAAAGTGCAATTACCATAAAGTGTGTTTCATTTTTCTCTACAACTTCGGTTCAAACCATTATGCACACCAATAAATATTTAGTGACTTAGTCTTGATATATTAGCAGAATTGCATGTAGGTCTTCATGTAAAGTGGCCATTTAAATTAGCCAATCAAAATGAAAATTGAAGTCATGTGATAATTTTTTATAAAAGTCTTCAGCACCAGATTTCATGAAAGTCTATCCAGGAATTCTCTGTTTCATGTGTGCACGCACACGCGCGCGCGCACACACACGCAGATGGGCTCATGAGACTTAATAAGTGCTCTACAGGGTTGTGAGCACACCTAAAATCATGTGTGGGTAAGCCACACACTGGATAATCTGCATGTAGATAATTGGGATTGCATTGTAACAGTTTAACGAACAATACAGATGAATTCAGAGGAAACATATTCACAAGATGAGCTCAAACAAGATGCCAGAAATAATGTTAAGGTATCAGCCAAAAGTAAAAAGAACTTTGAGAAGACCTTTGAAATGAAAAAATGATTCTGAATTGTAAAGTTTGTAACAAAGCGGCCTCTGTAGTCTATAGGTAACGTTCCCACCTCATGACTCATGGTACGCGGGTTCAAACCCGGCGGAGGTCATGGAATTTTTAAGGGCAGAAAAATTCAGGGAACAAGTCCTCCGGGAGGGACTTTAAGCCGTGGATCCCGTGTCGTAGCTTTACGGCACGTAAAAGAACTTCATATCTCTAAAGGAGGTCACTGAGCCAAATTCGAGGACATTTCCCGCCTAACAATAGTCTCTAATGACTCTGATGGATGGGGGAGGCATTATAGATACCGCTAAACCAGTAGAGGCCGAACTCGCTGGCTCAGTCAGGATTGATGGTACGCACCAATATCGGTAGGGTATAGAGACTGGTAGAATATCATAGAGGGAAGCACAATGGACCAATACTGGTCTAAGTGCATGGGGAAACCCACCCTCTCCAATAACTAACTAACTAAAGTCTGTAACAGGTCTCAGTAGGCCTGGTATTGGGATGATGATGACTATGACAACAGTAATTTCTGAAATAAAATTCAGCTGCAAAATATACATGATCAAGATAATTCAGGTGGATGAAAGATTCAACATTAACAAAAGTTTCGAACTACCCTGCATTGTGTTGTGTTGTGTTGTGCTGTGTCTGAGCACAGAGTATGGAAATGGAACTGTTACTCTGTTGTTCCATCCCTGTACTCTGCAGTCAGACATGTAATCATATGTAATAGAAGGGAACTTATTAATAAAACCTTATATTATACTTGTATTCTCATCAGGACAACATTGCTGAATATATATATATGGAACTTACTTAACATAGAACTATCACAAAGTTTTTCATCAATAACAAAAAAGAGAGTACTACACCACACTTTACAGACATCAGTTGTAAATTACTAAAGATGACAATATGGCTTAATACAATTAATTTACATTACTTCCAACAACTTCTCTCACATAAAAAGGTAGCCAGTAAACTGTTTTGTTATGTATAGAATGCAGACATCTTATCATACTCTGTCAGCTCTCCATGATCAGTGAGAAAGTGTATTTTTGGAGCCCTGAAACCACTGATATGAGAGCATATGACATGTGACAGTTATAAGAGTCTCTAAATAAACTAAAATATTAAAGAGAATTAAGATTATTATGATGGTGAATGTTAATATTATTGTCATCAGGGATGTAATGCCAGGTAGCCTGGGTGGTAGGTATGAATGTTTGAGAGGAGTCTGCAGGGTACTTTCTCTGCCCTGAAGTTGGAAACAGTAAGTTCTTCTGAAACATTGGTATGTATCTGCCAGACTACATGGTGCAACTTCGCAGAAGACCATAATGTTAAAAAGAAAAGGTTTCCAGTATTGGTCCCAGATCTCCTTGTAACATTATGTGCTGCCCTATGAACATTTATTTAGTTCTGGTGGTTGTCATTTACAGGATTTGACAGGCATTGAAGATATCTCAGTATGCAGAGATGTACTGCAACGACATGCATGGGATTTGGAGGTGTCTGTCCAGGACCAACTGAACATGCGTGAAGGACATCCATCTGTGTTTGCTTCAGACATTCGTACACCTGCAGTAGTAAATGATCGTTCAACTCAGCACATATTCTTTTCTCCCCCTGGAGACAGAAATCCCCATAGCATACGAGGACTTTTCAAATATGTAGTGTCTCTAGTTTTACAGCTCTGCTATAACACAATCACCAATATCTTGCAGTTCACATTCAGGTTGTTCCAGCCTGATCCAAGAAGATGTGAGTATTATTGAATCATTGTATACATCTGGGAGCCAGGATAGCATGCACTGGGGTCCACACAGCCTCTTATCCAATGCATACCAGGGGTTATAATGTCAAGATGTCCATTGGCTGAAGTGTGTTGTTAATTTTTCCAGATGTTACGGATCCTGTAGCCGATGTCCTTTCTTTCGTCCGTCTATATGAGCAGAAATACGGACGTGGTCATCCAGTGTTCTACCAAGGAACTTACAGTCAAGCACTTAATGATGCTAAACAGGAGCTACGATTTCTTCTAGTCTATTTGCATTGTGAGGAACATCAAGACACTGCTAACTTTTGCAGGTGACATGGTTGTCTCTTAACTTTGCAGTTCAGTGTGAATAAGTGGGCTTAGAAATGATGTGCATGTCTTGTCAAAAAAAGAAAGCAGTTTCATTTTATCAGATTTGAGGTTCTTATGGTGGGAGTACTAAATTACTGTATTCTGTGGTGAACTGTGTAATCTGGTAGAGGGGTAACAGTGTTTTGGAGAAACTTGCTGCCTCCACCTCATGGTCAGTGAAAATCAGGGAACAGGTCTCTTCAAATGGTACCTCTTTACCAGATTACAGGGTGTCACATTCTTGAAGACCATAATCTTCAGGCTTCATAGAACATTAGCTCCATACTGTATAAGGTCCTGATACATTGTGTAGTGAGAGAGAGAGAGTTTTTAAAGATATCCAACTCTTAACTAATTCTTTCACTTCTGAAGCTTCAACAGAACTTCACAATACAGTGCAGAACTCACATTTTCACCACACTTTTGAAAATGGCTTAACCATAGTCCCTGAGAATTCTGAAATACAACAAGCATAACCTCCCAACTGATAAGCACAATAGATCACTGTAGGTCGCGGTGCATGGGCCAGGAAGGCCCACCCCTTATACATCATTCATTCATTCATTCATTCCCAGCTGATGGCAACACCTTAAACTTTTTGGCCAAAGGTGAACTGGGATGTCTCTATTACACTGAAGCATGCTTTGATTCAGGTTCACAGTGATGCATCTATGATTCATCCCAAGTAGTAGTACTCTTAAGCATACAAGTATCTTCTTCATCTGCATACTGTAAGAGATGTTGCAAGGAGAGACCCATTTGGTTAATTTTTTTTATCAGTCCTTCATTTCTCTGGGCACTCACCATGCACACTTTCAGAAACTTCAAACAGTCATGCATTATGCTGTATGCTAAACCATGGGAACACCCTAGTGCAGTTGCTACACACTCTATTCCCTCCTGTCAGCTCGAATCGATTGTTCCACCCGCTGCACAGTTTCTTGTGTCACAATCTCAACAGTGCCACCTGGTCTGGCATCATCTGCAATTTTCAAACATCCTTGAGAGAATTTCTCGACCCAGTTGTGGACCACTTTATGTGACAAACACTTCCTACCATAAACAGAAAACTATGAAACATTTCTGAATATCCTTTGCATTGAGTCCTTTTGCTCACAAAAAATGCACAACAAAACACTGCTTTTCGGTAGTACTATCCTCAATCACGGTCGCCATTATAACTATTGAAACCATCCTCTGATGAAAATGTGCGTGTGCCCGCCAACTAAATTGTCATGAAGCTGAACTGTGCTGGTACCTAGTGCTTCACATAGAAAACCTATTATGTTAATTGCAGCTGTTTTACTTCCATTTTTGGCCTCTTTATTGACTGTCCCTTGTATCTCTCTCATCTCACCATCTTCTGTCTTGACCTTGCCATTTGCAATACTGCAATTTCACTGATCTGACATGGACACTGCTAGATGATATCTATGGAATGAACATTTCCTGATCTGTCCTTATCAGCTACTCCTCTGGAAAATTGTAATTCTGACTGGGCCCTGTTCTCACACCTTGCTGAAATTTAGGAGATGTGTATCTCCATAGTGAAGTCCTGTGGTGAAGTTCCACTGGGACCAAAGAACATGACTAGGGAAACTGGCAGAAAATTGTAGGCAGTCAACAGGAAATGGCCAAATAAAGACATTTAAATAAAGACTGAGAATAAAAATACAACATAAGGAAGTAGTAAAGAAATTTGTGACAAAAATGACAGCAGTGGAAAGAATAAACTTCAAATAAATCCCCTCCCCCAAGAAACATATCATGATATTTCCCCAGCTGAAGAGTGACTCACTCATCCAAACATATAAGTAAATTTGAAAGCCTAGAAGTAGGTGTAGATCCAACCACTGATGGGAGATGAGTTACCAGCAGTCAAGGCCATGGAAGGTGGGGTAAAGGAAGGAGAGTAAGGGATGAGAGGGAAGGGGAAATTAGGATATGCAAAGACAAAACAGCAGCAGGAAGGAGGAAGTGGGTTCAGTGTTGAAAATATGACATTGCAATGCTGAGCATGTACAGTCAGATAGATCTGGGCTGAGGATTTTTTTATATCTAAGTGGGGAGGGGTGATATTAGTGTGCTCCACCCCACAGTGTATTACCAGCTTGTGTCTGTAAATTTCTAGGGGAGTGGTCAACTACAGCTTGTCTGGATATGGGAAACTTGAGACCTACTCTCAAAGGTCCAATGTGGCTTCAGACACAGAGAAGCATTTGTAACTAGGTAGTGTCTAGTGGCTATTTGCTTAGATATTGAGAAGGCCTGCAGCACTGCCTTGGTTATATGGGATACACAGAAGCATCCATCACTGGCAACAAAAGGGCCATTTACCAATCTTTTTGTTCATGTTTTATTTCTGATAGACGATTTTAAGTGTAATACAGTACAGTTCTGTCCCTTCTTGGAGAAAAGGAGAATGGTGTCCCTCAGTTTCACTCTCTATGCCATTGCCATGAATAGCATCCCTAGTAGGGTGCATTGCCCCATAATGTACTCCCTGGATGTTGATGACTGTGATTTACCACTAGTGGCAGTCTCTCCCAGGCATAGAGTGACAACTGCAGCTATCCATCAGTTGTCTCTCACTTTAGAGTCAGGAGAACATCCTTAAGTTTTGAAACACTAAGTCCACGTGTGTCTACCTTTGTAGGCTTGGGTATATATCCATGCCTAACAATCACCATGACTTTGGGATTAAACCAACAACTCCAGACAAAATGTCATTGAACTCTTAATATTTTACCTATTTTAACTGGAGCATCCTAAGGGGCAGACAGAACAATAATGCTTCTATTGTACCAGTGTCTGATTTCTATGTTTCTTGAATATACATCATTTATCTATGCCTCTGCATCAAAGGAAGTCATATCTATTGTTAATCATATCCACCACTCTGGCACACACATCTCTGCAGGAGCCTTTCAAACAACTGGATTTGAAAGTCTGTACATGGAGTAAGGGGAACCAGTGCTTGCCATTCAGTGGCAAATCCTGTTATGTAGCTGCATCATAAACTGAGTTCTCTCAAGAAACATCCCTACTGCAGGACAATATCCTGGCCTTCTCTCAAATTAGATATGCACTTAGCACAAATGCAAGCCATCTGTAAGGCATCAGATACAAGAAGCACTTGGGTGCACTTCATAACACCACCATCCTAACATGCCACCCTGGATCATATTTAGACATTGCTCTGATACTTGCCTCTGTGACCTTCCTAAGGCATATACAAGGCGTCTAGATGAAAGATATCCGAAATAAAAAATTTATATCTCAGAAACCAATTGTCATACACATATCTGGTTTATGTCATTGTAAAGGAAAACTCTGAAAGTTCCCCCCCCCCCCAAGACCGGCTTTCATACGTCTACCAGCTGATGAATTTCAGCAAGCTCAGTATTGATGTCAACACCACAGGAACAGGTTTGATGTGTGTTGTGGCTAGCAGAGTTGCAATCTCTTATGGCTATTCAGCATCATTTTAAAATGCAATATAGACGTCAGCCTCCTACATGGAAAAGCATTCGGTTCTGGGACAACAAACTGAGGACTACAGGAAGTCTGCTGTGTGTAAAATGGTAGACCTCTGAAGAAAATGTCAGTCACATTAGAGAGGCATTCCAGTAAAGTCCATGCAAATCAATTCATGCTGCTAGCTTGCAGTTACAAGTTTCCACGTTCAACAGTGAGTGATCTGCTATACAAAAGGCTCTGCATAAGAGTGTATGAGCTTCAGATGATTCATGCAGTAAAACTGAGTGCCCAAGTGCCATGTATGAACTTCGCTGTGGACATGCTAGAAAGAATTGACATGTCACCTGATTTCCTCTGCCAAGTAAGCTACTCAGACAAGGCGATGTTCCATGTCAGTGGAGTTGTAAACAGGTACAACTGCAGGAAATTGGGCAGTCAAAGTCCTCATATCACATGTTAGTTGGAGAGAGGCAGCCCCAAAGTGAACGTGTGGGCCAGCTTGATGCACGACAAGTTGATTGGACCTTTTTTTTTTGTCCCCCCCAAACCCCCCCAGAAAAGTTGTGACCAGACATTCGTACTTGGACATGCTGAAGCTGTATGCACTGCCCCAGTTACCACCTCAGACTATTCGCCAACAAGATGGGGTGCCGCCACAGTTCTGCCACAATGTTAGGAATCATCTGAACAGAGAGATGGCTGGGAGATGAATTAGAAGAAGGTGATCAGTCACTCGGTCCCCTTGGTTACCAGATTTAACCCCATTGGATTTTTTCTTGTGGGGTTATGTGGAGAGCATTGTCCACTAGGTTAAGATCAACGACCTTCAGCACCTGAAAGCCCACATCTTGGATGCTGTAACTACAGTAACACCAAACATGCTTCAAGCAATGTGGAACAAAGCTGAATATCATCTGGATATTTGTCGTACCACCAAGGGAGCCCACATTGTAATTTATTGAGAAAGCTATCATTCATTCATCAGTAATCTGTCAGATGACAGGTCCACAGTCTCTTCCAAAACAGTTTCTCCACTTCTAGAGCTTTCTCCTTCAAATGAGAATATCCTCTTCTGTCCCCAAGGTCATCCAGCATCTTCTTACGTCTTCTTCCCCCGTCTTCTGGTCACTTATATCTGCCCCTGTATCTTTCCTTCAATAACTTCTTTTAGAAGGCAGTTACTGCATTAGATATGACCAATCCAATTAGCCTTCCGTTTTCTTATTTTGTGTAGGATATTCCTATGCTCATGGACTCTAAATAACACTTCTTCATTTCTCACATAATCGGTCCAACTGATCTTCTCCATCCTTCTCCAACGCCACATTTCGAAGCTTTCCAGGTGTTTCTGATCTACTGCCCTAAGTGTCCAAGTTTCAGCCCCATACAAAGCCATGCTCCAAATGTAGCATTTCACTAGTTTCTTTCTCAAATTTAAGTCCAGTTTGCTGGTAAAGAGATTATTCTTCTTGCTAAGTGCAGCTTTTGCCATGGCAATCCTAGATTTAATTTCACAAGTACACCTTGCATCATCTGTTAACAAGCTACCCAAATATTTAAAATATTTCATGTTCTCCAGTTGTTTTTGGTCATATCTTTATTGTGACTGGGGTTGGTTGTTTCAAAATATTCATTACTTTTGTTTTTTCCACATTCATTTCCATGCCATAGCACCTTCCAATTTCGATTAGTCTATCAATCATGCCCTGTAGCACAGTTTCTTCCTTAGCCATTAACACAAGGTCATCTGCATATTTCACAGTTTGAATAATTTGCCCTCCTAATTTGAAGTCTCCAAGCCCATCCAGAGCTTCCTTGGTAAGGCATTCGCTGTACAAGTTGAACAAAATTGGTGATAAACAGCATCCTTATCAAACTTTGATAGTTTCACTATGTAATGGTGTAATGCATAATTGTATATAATAAATGCTCTCTAAGATATAATTATTTTATTTTGGGTACCTTTCATCCGGACACCTTGTAGATCTTCAGATATTTTTGCAGGCTGATCTCTGATGAATGGATCATTTGTATGTACATTTATTTTAAATGCACAGGCCTTGAAATCCCAGCTCAGTCATTTATGTTTGGTGTACACTATAGAGCTCCTTGCTGTGTGGAATGCTTTTGAGGCCTTCCATGACCAGCTGCTGGGGCAGTTTCTGTTGTGTGCAGAATCCTGAGCACAATTCAAAGTTAAATCACCCAATCTTGCTCACAGAAGCTGTCACTGACTTCTTAAATTGGGTTTTAATATTGCTTTATCTTGGTTACCAGGACATGTGGGTATTAGTGGCAATGAAGCAATTGAAGCATCCTCAGCTTCACTTGCCATATGACATTCATGAAATACTCAGTGCTGCCTGATGTTCTATCTAGAATTTGGCCTTTGTAAAAGACATTTACATATGTCGTCTGTTACAAATTTTACATGAAGTTTTTAAAAATTTTATGAAAGATTCTGGCTCCATTGACTACTGTATGTGTATGTATATTAAAAGGAAGGTGTAAATAGCCTCAGCAGCTGAAGCATCAATAAAGCCACCACTACTCTTCACTGTATATTATAAGAGTGGTCAATTCAAGAAGGATGAAGGATGAAGATTGGACTGATCTAGCTCAGTGTAGCATCCATTACTAAGTTCTTGTAAGCCCAGTAATACACCTTGAATTCCATAAAAGATGGGTAGCTTCTTAACCAGCTGAGTGACTGTTAGCTTCTCTAGAAGAACTGTGCTCCATGGAGTTAGTTATAAAGTTGTATGTTTAAGTAGCATGACTAGAAGACATGGGTCCAGAAAATTGGAAAAACTGAACATACCTGCTATATGCGTAAGAAATAATTTAACGGAAGAATTATATTTTACAGATACACTTTACCACACCCAGATGTGATAAGCTATATCAATTCCAACATGCTGTTCTGGGCCTGTTCAGTTACAACATCGGAGGGCTATCGAGTTTCACAAGCATTGCGTGAGAATGGATACCCTTTTCTTGCTGTTATAGTTCTTCATGATGGGCGAATGACTGTTGTTGGAAGGTAAGTGAAAATGCGTTCCTATAATATAGTACCATTTATACTTTCTTTTATGTCCATGGCTTATGCCAACCGTCTTACAGTGTATACACTTCTTCATCTTATTATTCACTTCCACACGACATGTTTCAGCACTAATGTGCCATCTTCAGGTGTCTTTATGCACATTAAACTATTGTACTGCATGCCATAATGTCTTCATTCTATCCCTTGTGATTAAAGAAACACAATTTTTCGCTTAGTAGGGGGTGGAGTCCAACTGGGTCCACTCGGCACGGCGGCCACTGATTGGCCTATTGTAGCCTGCCCCGAGTGATTATGATGATGGAGAATTTGGTGGAATGAAGATTGGCAGGGGAAACCGAAGTACTCGGAGGAAATCCGCCCCAAAGCCGCTTTGTACATCACAAATCCCACTTGACCCGACCCTGGATTGAACTTGGGCCACCATGGTGGGAAGCCAGCGACTAACCGCTTCAGCTATGACACGGCCACATAAGCCACTGTTAATAGGGCTAACATTTCACTAGCACTTTTACCAATCTTCACACAAACTTGATGTTTATCCTGTGCTCCAGATTCTTGTCATTCATTTTTCCACCAACAGTATACACAGTCACGTACTACTTCCTCTGCTGCTTGTGAACAAACGAGTCACTTAGCCTGTGACTCTTGTAAACACAAGTTTGAACATGTCCCGGCATGCTTGGGTACATGAGTTTTCCTGACTCAACACCCCAACAACATGCTGCAGCCATTCTGCAAATTAAATTGTCACACCTTGTTTCCAGGCACTCTTTCCAGGAAGTAAAGTGGCTGGACCATCAAACTGACCACTCATCTCTATCCAGTGCCAAGATTAAAAGTACATAAGGCTTTATCTAATTTTCTGCCCAACATCTTTTTTTTTTACTTTATGGATTGATGTCAAAACTGAACTCTTTGTATGGTCATCTTCAAGCACAATAGATCACTGTAGGTCGCGGTGCAAGGGCCGAGAAGGCCCATCCCTTATACATTCATTCATTCATTCATTCATGGTCAATTTCATCCATTAACAGCTTACACTCCCCGTAGGTCACATATTTACAACATTATAGAAAACATGTTCTACATTTTGACAGTCATTTTTGTGTCAGCGTGGTGTTTCCTACTGCTTTACTGAAAAATTTTTTGGAGTTTAAATTAAAATTTTCTATGCCTCTGCTACACACTGTAAAATACAAGTAGGCGGGTAGAAAATACAACAGCTGTAGCTACACACCAGAATACTTGGAATGAAATTACTTACTCATCTGTCATGAACACTATAAACTAGTAGTATTAATATAGCAAAAGCTCTCTGAATAAAATATGCCAGCATATTTGATTTAATAATCTCTGCAGTATGTGCCATGAGGCATGGGAAGTGTTTGAATCTGTCAGCCAATTTGTGTTTGAGTACATTGACTCATGATCTCATTTTCTGTACCAGGTTGGAAGGCCCAGTGGAACCAGATGAACTAATCACTCGCCTTCGAACAATTGTATCTGATAATGAAGTAGCCCTGATTGCAGCAAGGGCTGAAAGGTAGTCATTTGTATTGTTAGCAATTTTTCCTCAAACCAATTTTTGCTCATTTTGTGTTTAACAGACTTATTTCCCCAAACTTGTATTTGGAAATTCCTTGATATACAGGTCATTGCAAAGTAATGCTCCTATTCCACTTGCATGTATCTTTGGTCTTCCTAAAAGAGGAATGTGTGTATCAGCTAGCACAGAACTGTTTGAAATTTTGATGGAAAATTGTTGTGATCATCAACATCATTGTTGAATCTGAAGCATAAAATCTTACTGAGAACACAATTTCTGAGCATGTGTAACAATTTTTCTACAAAAACAAACTTAGTCAGAAGTACCTAAGCTCAATAAACAGAAATGTCCTGAAAAGACAGCTACATATATATCAAAATAGATAATGATGCTTCTATCTAGAGGTATTTATTAAACTTTTTTTCAGCAAAGGTGTACACTGCAATACTGATTTCAGTGTCCCTTCTACTGCCATTTATTTCAGTCATCTTCTAAATATAACCATTGTTAGCTGTGAGTAGTCACATCCATAATGACAGAATACCATGAAATAGCATTTTGGATATAAGATATATATTGTCACATGTCAGTTACTGGACACCGTATGGTTTGGTAATTGGATTTATTGAACTTATAAATCAGAACTACAGGTAATTGTAATGCTATTCCTAATTCACACACTCAACTTTTCACTACAGCACACACGAAGTATTCTCAGTTTGTCTTCACTAGCCATTGCTAGATTATGGCTTCCAACTGTGTAGATTCATCACTGGCTTGCAGCTAACCCCCTGTTCCAACTCACCTCTCCACTGCAAGTAAATAACTTTCTGTGTTCTCCTTACATAACTTTGGCATGGACCACATTGAAAACTCAGCTTCCAACAGTTCTTCTGTTGTTGCATGCACATCCGTCACATAGCAGTGAACCCAGTATTGTTAGCATGTTTACCATACGCTGCCTCTAAATGGACCATGTCTGTAATCATGTTTCATTGCTACTTGTTTATGGTAGCCCATAGGCATATCAGCATATCTTTCATTTGCAGAGACAGAACTGTCAAAGGTGGCCAGTGCTCCTGTAGCATCAGCACCAGGTGTTGATATTCTCTTATTTTGTTTTGGATTGTCTGGCTCCTCCACACTGCCCTATCACTCATTTTCTGGAGTCTGATGGAAGATATGACTTAGCTTTATGACTTCCAGTGATCTGCCCAAGGGCCTCGTTGAGTGTTTTCTTGCCTCCCAGAAGTAGCTGATGTTTCATGCCTCAGTATCTTATGCCATTGCTGAATGCCTTGCTTGGTCCCCTGTGAGTGTAGTTCTCATGTAGTGCAGAAAAGATGGTGGGGAAGCTTGTTTGATGGCCCTCATTTTTTCTAGATTGGCATCCATCAGGGCTTTCATTTCTTTTAGGTTGGCCAGTAGGCATTCCATCATTTGCTCCATTTCTGTAGTGTGACAGTATGGATATCCCATGCAGTCTCCAGTCCAGTAATTTGATTCATCCCACTTCTGACACCAGTTTGTCATGTGTTAGTGATAGTATTACTGATCCTGATGTTAGTCTCCAGTCCAGTAATTTGATTCATCCCACTTCTGACACCAGTTTGTCATGTGTTAGTGATAGTATTACTGATACTGATGTTATTAGTATTTCTGGGGCAAAAATGGTGAATTTGAGTTGCATGTCAGGCATTCACAATATTCAAATTGCAGTAAGTATTGATTTTGGACTATCATCTCATTACCCCCCCCTCAAATAATTATGAATTTATAGTTTATATGTGGTCCAGTGTTAAAATGAAGAAAATAATGATAACGCAGATTAAGGTGCAACATGTTTGAAGGAAAAAAGATAGGCTTATCAATCAAAATGCAGTTATTAATATGAATGTATCATGTATTCTTTGGACTTATGCACAGATTTCATTCATTTATTCACATTCCATAAAATCCTTACAAGGTTGAGATAACCAATAGATATAGAAATCATCCAGAAATATAAACTCATCTTGCTTATAAATCAAGCAGTTGTCAAAATAACAAGTTTATAGTGTACAAGATTTAAGCCACATGTAAAAATTTATCTTGAAAATAATAAGTAAGACACTGACAATTTTAAGATAAAAAATTCAATCCAAATATTATATACTAATCATGCTTATACAATATGACAGTTATTTAAAAACCAGTTTATAATATAAAACAAGTTTGAAAGTTGAATATAATTAGTCATATTACAGTAACCAATTTACAATATAAGATGAAGGTAATAAAGAATACAAATAATAATATTTACAAAAAAGCTTTAGTCAACTGACATATTGGTTAAAATTTCAATATACTGTAATTATGCAAGCATTATCTCATAAAAAACTCTTACAATGTATAAAAAGAACTAAAATACAAAAATCCCTTTAAATTGCCCTTAAACCTTTCTATATCATTAGAAATTTCCTTAAGTGTATCAGGAAGTGCATTGTATATTTTTACAGTCATATGATACACCCCATCTCCATATATCGCCAAATTAACCTGGGTCATATGTATATCCATAATGTGTCTAGTATTTATTTTGTAGTGAACTTTGTTTGAATCAAATATTCTTCTGTTTTTTACAACAAACATCATCAAAGTGTATATATATTGTGTTCTTAAAGGAAATATATTCATATCGTTAAAATGCCCTCTACATGAATCTCTCGAGCCACAGCCTTTCCTTATTCTTATAACTCTCTTTTGCAACTTAAAAACTCTTTCGGCATAAGATGAGTTACCCCAAAACATTATACCGCATGACATGACAGAATGAAAATATGAAAAATAAACACTTTTTAATGTTTTCATGGAGACCATTTGTTTTGCATTTATCATATAGCAGGCCATACTCAGTTTTTTACTTATGTCTTGCATGTGACCATCCCAGATGAACAGAAGCCACAGTGCATTCTCTGTTATGAAACATTATTTAATTAAACTAACCAGACAGATTCACTGGCATCCACAAACAAAACCTGAATATTTTCATAGGAGGCAGGAAGCAGTACAACTGGCTGTGATAATGAAAATCCAATGTTTGCTTCATATGAGATGTCCTTGTTGATAGCAAAGACTGGACAACCATATACAATAGCAAAGGGACTAATTCTACATGCTGCTATAGCAAACTGGATGTAGAATTCTGGGAGACATAGCAAAAAAAAAATTATTTTGTTATCAAGAATCACTGTGAATCAGTGAACTGAAGTGTAATAACTGCACAAAAGTGAGTTTTATTCTTTGCAAGTAGAAGAAAGTGTGGATGTTTCTAACAGTGCTGATTACATTACATTCATACAGTATTAATCTGATGACATAATTAATGAAGATTTATGTCAGTCATTGCCAACACATAATATGGAAGAGGTCAGTTTTAATGGTTTGAAATACGTGGTGCAATCCAAAAGTTCCCGAAATATATTAATAAAAACTATTGCATCTAATACAATATACACAATTGGCACCAGGAATAATAATCTTTTTCATATGCCTGCTTCTCGTTTGTTGTATCAGAGGGGTGTGTATCACTCAGGTGTGAGGTTCTTTAACATGTTACCAGACAGTATCTCAATGTTACGAACGTATCAGAGCGGTGTGTATCACTCAGGTGTGAGGTTCTTTAGCATGTTACCAGACAGTATCTCAGTGTTAAGAATGGATACAGATCAATTTAGGGTTGCTTTAAAAAGATGCTTATTAAGAAATTCCTTTTACTCCATTGAGGAATTTGTTGACCATGTAAGAAGCATAAAGATAAATGCACAGTCAGAACATATTGTGGGTCCTGTCTGTGTTCTGAGTCAAGGGGGCTGTTCCCAATTGTTTTAACATCTAATATTTAAACTAAGAATTGGAAGGTTGAGTTGTATCAATTCTAGTTGATTGATGTTGTCAGCAGAGTTAGTATTTTCCTTTATAATTTGTTATAATTGGATTGACAGCTTGCGCTTTTTTGCAAAAGGCCTTATTTATTATTTTATATTTTATATGTTTTCTTTACTGACAACTTGTATTGTTTTCCAAGAGGCTTGATTTATTGTTACTTTGTACTTTAGATTTTACATATTACATTTAATGTGTATCTGTATTTTATTGTATGTGACTGTTTATCTCTGACATGATATATGACAATTTTTATATCCAGCCCTACGGGGTGACTGTTGGATCAAAGAAATTTATTTTAATAATACTAATAAAAGCCTAGATCTTATTCTGCACCATCACCTTCAAAGTAGTTCCCTTGGGAGCGCATACACCGATCCCAGCATTTCTGCCACTTTTCAAATGCATCCTGGAAGTCTTTCTTTGTTAGGGTGTTTAGTACCGTCTGTGTTTCCGCTTCAATTTCCTCAGCTGTATCAAATCTTCGCCCCTTCAACTTTATTTTCATCTTGGTGAAGAGAAAGAAGTCGCATGGAGCTAAGTCTGGCGAGTACGGTGGGTGGGGAACAACTGCCATCTTGTTTTTAGCCAAAATTCCTGCACAGTGTAAGCCGTATGCAGTCGTGCGTTGTCATGGTGGAGTACCCAGTCATTCGTGCGCCACTTCTCTGGACATTTTCTCCTCATGTCCTCCCTCAAACACCTTAGAACATTGCAATAGAACTCTTTATTGACTGTCTGACCAGGAGGGACGAACTCCTTATGAACAATCCCGTCAATATAAACAAAAAAAATCAACATGGACTTAATGTTGCTCTCGACTTGTCGAGCTTTTTTTAGCTGAGGTGAAGAAGGGCTCTTCCATTGCGATGACTGCTGCTTGCTTTCAGGGTCGTAGCCATAAACCCAACTTTCGTCACCAGTGACAACCTTCGAAAGAAAGTTTGGATGCTCTTGAAGCTGTTGCTGAAGTTCCCTGCAGACTTCAAAGTGATGCTGCTTCTGTTCATTTTGCAGCAGTCGTGGCACAAACTTCGCTGCAATCCTCATGTTCAGTTCATCTGACAAAATTCGTTGACATGTACCATAACTTAGTCCCAAGGTGTTACAGAGGTCTTGGATGGTCAGTCTACGATCTTGCAGAATCAGATCCCTAACTTTCGTGACATTTTGTGGTGTTTTGCCCGTTGACGGCCGGCCCGAACGATCGTCGTCATCAGTCGATGTTCGGCCATTTTTAAAACGCTTATACCAGTTGTAAGTTTGTGTCTGGCCTAAACTGTTTTCACAAAAAGCTTGCTTCAACATTTGGTGCGTTTCTGCAGCGGTTTTCCCAAGTTTGAAACAAAACTTTATACAGACACGCTGCTCTCTCAGATCAGCCATCGCAAAACCTCGGACTCACAGAAACACAACAATGGAAATACGTTCACCAACAATAAACCCAACCACTCAACTCGATGCCGCTTGCCACACTGATTCAAGAAGGATGTGTGAGGAGACACCTAGCGGTATTTCGATGTACTCATAACCGTTCGCGCGCAAAATTCAAATTTCGGAAACTTTTGGATTGCCCCACGTATTTCATAATTGTAAGTGAAATTTGGTATCAAGATGTATAGGTGTCATCACCAGTTGGGCTGCTGCATCATCAGGATAGTGCAGTGGACTCATTGCACATATTCTAGATCGTGCCAGATATGAAAGGGATTCACTGCTTCATATGTAGAGAATTATTGGCAGCAAGAAAGGCACCAGAAGAAAATGAGAACAACACTGGATAAAGTAGTGAATGAAGTTAATTTTATCAGTGCTCATTCTTTACACAGTTGTAATGTCCTACGTGGACAGATGGGTAGTATCCATGAACATTTTCAAATCTGTTGGCTGTCTTGCAGAAAAGTATATGATTATTTGAGTTGTATGATGAAATATGCTGTTTCTCAGCAATAAAATGTTTCAAGAAAGCAAGTATTTTATTGGTTTTCCATGTCTTTCTGTGGTGGCATATTTGTCTATAACCCTTCTTGAAGTTGAGGATAAAGGGGTATCTATGACTATGAAATTAAATTTGTGGTCAGAGTGACTTCAAAAAGGTGTTTGAATCATTCCATCATTCAGTGATTTTGTTGTATTCCTCAATAGTCCTCTCAAGAAACAAAAGCTCTTACCATTCAGCAGATTTTGAAAAACACTTACAGCAATTATTTTCATCTTCCTGATACTAGTAACAAGTGGATTAGGGATCCATTTAATGTAGATGTTGAAAAGTATGTTCTACAAGTGCAGAAAATGGTCTTGTTGAACTTTCATGTGACAGCTTGTTGAGGTCAAGTTTTCTTCAGTATAACTATGAATTTTAGTTGCAAACAAGAAAATAATGATAACTGGCATTCAGAGTGGTGAAGTATTTAGTACTGTTCCCAGCAGTATCCATTGTAACCTCACTCACTCATGGAACTGAGCAGTATATTTGTATGAGCTTTTTCCCACCTGTTTTATAAAAAAGCATATCAGAGGAAGTGTATGAATGTGGGACCTGAGCTACACTGATCCTGAAGTTCAGACCATTGTATCAACACAGTAACATCAACCAGCTTATTAAATAATTTAGTTTTTTAATACTTCTGACTCTCAGTGCATAATCATTTCTGTATGTATTCTATTGAATAGTGATCAGTTGGATGAATTAATTACTGGTTACCAAAACTAGTTTGAAAGGCATATAGAAGAACCACTGGTCTAGTAGTAAACAGAAAAATAGGTAGGTTGTTTCCATATATCGTCACCAGAATGCAGAACAAGATATTCAGATTGTGGCATATAGATCATTGCTGGGCAGTGACTCTGTGGACAGTGACTGGCTCGGCAAATATGTTAATGCAGCAACAAATATGCATGCAACAGTAGAGTTACTCTTTGGAAATGGGGTGTTTCTGCATGGTCTGTGCTGAGATGATAAGCAAGGGACAAAGTCAGTTGGCAGGCAGTTCTGTATGGGAGACTGTGAAGATAGGACCTGAGCGCGTGGAGCTGAAGAATCTCCACTGTTAGAAGCCATTGCCAGGGAATGGCTGGTGAAGCCTAGCGTGCTGGAAAAGCATAGCAGGTTCTGTGGTGATTGTGAATTGTGGAGTTTAGTGGGGATGCTGCAGTTGCTTGTAGTTCCAAGTCATGTGTATAAGTGGTCAATAAAGTTCACCAATCCAAACACCATCTATAGTCACACATACACGTGACAGTATTATTATAGCCAGTAAATCCTTAAACCATGTGGAAAAGTAAAATATTTAGGACAGTGACAAATCAGAATTGTATTCATGAAAGAAAATAAGAACAGATTAAATCTGGGGAATGCTTGTTAACATTCAGTTAAGAAACTTTTGTTTTCCTGTCTGCAATTTTAAAACATACAGATTGAAGTTTACAAAACTATAATTGTACTTGCTGTTTTATAGTGATGTAAAACTTGATCCATCACCATAAAAGAACACGGATTGAGTTTTTGGGAATAGAATACTGAGGAGAATGTGTGGATCTAAGATGAAGGCAGTAACAGAAGATAGAGAACATGTATGAGGAGCTTCACGATTTCACTGTATATTATTCGGTGACCAAATCAAGGGGAAAGATGGGTAGAATTCATGAGGGAGGTAGAAAATTATTCCACAATTTTATTTTTAAAACCTGAAATGATGAGACTATTTGGAAAATCTAGGCATGCGTCGTCTGACAGTAAAGTTTGCAAACTCATCACAGTAAAAGTGCTACATGCCTTTGTTGAATATCACTGTGGTTGCCCTCAAACCACTCCCCTTGGGAAGCTGTGCACTGACGCCAGCGCATAGTCCACCTTCCAAAACAATTTTGGGAGTGGTTTTGTGGAATGGCCTTCAGATATGCCATTGTATTAATCTTTATGTCATCAGTGTCATCAAAATACCTTCCATTCAATATTTTTTTTTCATAAAAAATCGCTGGTGTCTGAATTCGGTGAATAGGGTGGGTATTCCAGCATAGTTCTTTGTTTACTGGCAAAAAACTCCCTCACAGACAGTGCTCTAATTCAAGCTTAGACATTCTGACGATGTCACATCAAAACACATTCAGACAATAGTAGACGCCACTCAGAAAGAGACTGCCATATATCAACAACAACACAGCTGTCAACCACTGATATGCCAACATCATCAAACCATACTGAGGTTTCTGTCCACTGTTGCCACGGCAAGCACACAGTGGTGAGTTCGCAAACTTTGTTGTCAGACCTGGTAGATGGAAGGACAATATTGAATGTGGTCTTAATGAATTGGGGTGTGAAGATGTGGCTTTCATTCATTTGGCTGATTATATGATTTGGTTTTAGTGTGATTGGCCATTTTACACCAATCTGAATCAGTAGCAGTCCCTTTAAAGCAGATTGCTCGCTGACCAATCAGGAGAGGCAGGAAGAAGGGAGAATATGTTATTTTGTTTATATGCCGAGGAGGAATGTGAGGGGAACAGGGAAAGCTTGATTCACGGGATTCCACTGTGTGACTTTTTCTTTTGGTGTGGGGGGGGAGGACAACTGTCACATAAATACCTGTATAGGTATTTTAACTAGTGACAATAAGGTTTTTTAAATTAACATCTAGAAACTTTAAAAACTTTACAATACCAGGAAGCTGCTGTGATTGTGAAATGTTTGACTTTATGCATACTGTGCATTATAGAATATAAGTGTATGCATTTTAAATCAAAACACCTATTGTGATGGTAGTTTCCAGTTTGTAATGATGTTCCCTCTGAAGATGGTCCGTAAGGACCGAAACATGTAAGGGAGATAAGTTTTCATGTAGTAAAAACTTGTATGTCACATTGGACGGAGTGGTTTGTATTTATACCTGTATAGGTATTTTAATGCTGTTTTTTCATATGATTATTTACCATCTGTCACAGACCAATCTTATGTGTCATGTGATTGTCTGAATAAAGGCTATCATTATCTCCTTTCCATACTCCTATTTTTCTATATGTGGCACATTTTAAAATTGAAATCAATCTTCAATCTTTCATTTGTATATCTTTTTTTCTTGTAATTTTGTATACATCTCAAAAATAAATTTGTAGTATTTTTATATATGGAGTGGCTCGAAAGTAGGTATACAATTGTTTATTTACTTTTGAGACAACCTGTTTTAAGTTGAGGTAACAGACTTCTCATATCACTGCTCCTAACAGTCCCTGTGTTTTCTGATTTCCAATAAAGATTCAGCTCATTTCAGTTGGTAATTAGGTTACTAACCATTATCATTGCTCTAAAGAGAAAAAGATATAGATTCAATATGTGCAAATGTGTACCTACTTTTGAACCACTCTCTATAACAGTACCATTATGAAATGGAAGTTGATGAGAGAGCCACTATAAACAGAATGCCTTTATTCTTATTACCATTGCCAGTATGAAGAAATAGAGAGTTTAGTAAAATAGGCAACTGCCCCCAAAAGTCAGAAGCTGTTCTCGGTAATAATTTAATTTTTGGTAGGTTTTGCTGTAACTGATATATCTTTTCATTTGTTTCTTAGGGTTGAACGTAACTTTAATCAAACACTAAGGCAGCAGCAAGACCAAGCATACCTCGAGTCATTGCGAGCTGATCAGGAGAAAGAGCGTCTGCGATGTGAGGAAAGGGAAAGACGTGAGGGTGAAGCAAGACAGCAGAGAGAAAGGGAGTTAGAAGAACAGTATCACAAAGAGGTTTGTCTACATGTAATATAGTGAGTTCACGTGAAAAAATTTTGAGTTCTATGAAAATTTAATTTATTTTGTAGTTAGCAAAAGTATTCAGGCCTTCGGATGAAACTAAAATGGCAGCATAAATTTGAATGGATTTGAATTATTCTAGAGCAAACAAGATGATTCACACATGTTACATATACCTGTGTATAAATTGTCCTTTATGTATGTCTGCAGGCAGACAGACAGTTGAGAGTTGCATTTTGGAGAAGTGAGGAGCTACCAAGCAGCACATTGAAGACTGTGACTGACAACACTAGTCTGTGTGTGAAAGTGATTTGTAAAGTGTAGTCAAGAGTTGTTTCAAGAGTTTAAGAAATTAAATTACAAATCCAAATCCCATCCATAGTCACTCTATCATATCACAACTGGTGTCAGAAGTGTGACTGGATTGATCAGATTATTTGATTGGAAACTGCATTAGATTGTTACATTGTCATACTAGAAAATTAAACAAATACCAGAAGGCCTGCTGACCATTCAAGAAAAGATAGATGTTCTCATCACCCAGTTGGATGCCTGGCTAGAAGGAACAAAGGACTGCTGAAGAGTGACAGAGGCTTGGCTAGGGAGGAAGAAGCCAAACCCAGAGGAGATGGCAAACTCTAATGGAGCAACATTGGAGACTATCAGGGCAGCTGAGGACCAATATAGAGATCAGCATCAGGCTGTAAGGTGCCATGGACAGCCAAAGAAATGGACCTAGGGTGATGGTGGGTCCCAGCAGAAGTTGGTCCCTGACCATGGACAGCTGACCAGTGCCATTCCTGCACAGTGTAAAATCTGCCATCATGAAGGACTGATGGACAAAAATTGATGACAGAAGGGCCCAGAATATAACAACATAAGAAGCCAAGGCTTGAACTGCAACTGGGAAGCAAGAGAAATATTAATGAAACCTTCAGCAGACCCTAGGGCTGGAGATCACAAAGCAATTAGCCAAGTCTTTTTCCAGGGTTCGAAAAGTGACTGAACATTGTGGAGGACTCGGCCCCTACCAAAATGGAAGAAGAGTACCAGATGCTTGCATGCCAGCACTGTAGGAACACCAGCCACTCATGGATATTCTCTCCCCATGAATGGAAGGAGTGGTGACATACCAATATGCTACTCAGGACAAACAGCCTTAAAGAGTGAGAAATGTGGCATGTCTGCTGAAAGCCAGAATTATGATGCAATTGCTAGGAATAGCTCTGCAAACACACTCATTGCTAGGCAGTGGCTCAGTGGCTGTTCTGTAATGGCCACAACAAATATGCACACAACAGTCGAAGAGCTGTTCGAAGCAATGTTTCTTGTGCAGTGTATGCCAAGGCTATGTAAAAATGAACAGTTTCCATTACCAGTCAGTCGAGAGAGAGAGAGTCTTGAGATGACAGAAGAATAGAAGGTTGGTGTGACATGGCCACCAGCCTTCAAGGATGTGAGCCTAGGAGCAGAGGGTTGTCCACTGTTGGAAGATGTTACCAAGCAGAGCAGTGAAAACCATGACTGAGAACATTAGTCTGTGTGTTAGTGATCTGTAAAGTGTTGTCACAAGTTGAGTGTTAAAGTGCCCAGTATATCTGATTACCGATTCAAATCCCATCTATAGTCACTCTGTCATGTGACATTCCCATTATGTGCCCTGACTTTGGTTCTCAAGCATCTACTAGCATATTGTGGATATCCTATTAGCAACATTTATATTTGTCAGAGGATTAAAACCACCAGTGGTCCAACTCAAATTTCTATTGCCAAAGATGAGTGTCATTCAATTTTTTTTCAGGAAATACGCAGAAAAAAGATTGAGTACCAGGTGCATATTCCAGATGAACCTCCACCAGATCATCCAGAAGCTGTTCATATTGTTATTAAACTCCCAGATGGAATGCGACTTGAAAGACGTTTCTTGCAGAATCATTCCCTTGAGGTAACGGCAAGTTACATTACACTTGTTTTTTCTGTCTCTGTCCCTTGGCTCATTATAAAACAGTCTGAAACATGACAACACTTTCATGAGTGCATATAACCAGTATACATGTCAGGAAAGTTCCTTGTTCAATCAATAAATTATGTCAAAAAGGATTGTTATAAAATTTGTTTTTTATACTCATCTGGAATAGGCTGCAGTGTGCCTCATTTATGGAGGAACCAAATTTTTATATCCTTTGCATTTTTCAAAATTCTAGATGCCTGCTAGTGGCCACTGCTAAAAGAGGGTATTTCTCGTGATTACATACTGACAGAATACTGGGGAATAATAAAACATGGAGTTCCACAGGGGTAAATTTTTGAGCCTTTGCTTTTCGTAGTTTATAGAAATGACCTCCCTCCTACACTAAGGACCTCATCAATACCTAAAATATTTGCAGATGACCCTAGTATTATAATTTCTGGTAAAAATTTAGATGATTTCTGCATGTTATCACGCAAGGTTCTTTCACAAATGAATAAATGGTTTTCTGCAAACAAGCTGTCCCTGAACCTAGAAAAAACAAATTTAATAACATTTATAACAAAAAACTCACCACAATATCCATTAAACATAGGATATAATGATAAATATATAGAAGAGGGAGTAAACACAAAATTCCTTGGCTTGCAAATTGATAATCATTTAAACTGGAAAAACCATATCGATCAGTTGATTCCAAAGCTGTTACATATTATTAACATTGACACACTCAAATCAATCTGTTTTGCTCTTTAATCACTCTTTAATGAAGTATGGAATAATTTGCTGGGGTAATTCATCTGACAGTAAAAGGGTATTTACATTGCAAAAGAAAATTGTTAGAATCATGATGGGTGTCAAATCCTGTTAATTCCTGTAGAGATCTGTTTAAGAGACTACAGATCTTAACTTTTCCTTGTGAATATATATATATATTCATTAATAAACTTCATTACAAATAACGAAGAACATTTTCAGACGAATGTGGATGTACACAGTGTTGACACAAGACACAAACACTGTCTTCATAAACCAATTGCTAACCTCTCATGCTTTCAGAAAAGTGCATATTATGCTGGGATCAAAATTTTTAATAACCTGCCATCTGATCTCAAAGGTTTTACGAATTAAAAGGCACGATTTAAAATAGCACTGAAACGATACTTAAATACACACTCATTCTACTCTGTTGATGAATACTTGTTGTCTAGAAAATAACTTATGTATCTTTAAATAGCCTTGTGTGTAGTCACTGTGTATTCTTGGTTTCTCTTGTGTGAGAACTCCATTGGGACTGTACATATGTTTTGTATTTATATGACATATTCCACATCATACAGTCATTTTGACTAACTTTGGATCCATGTAATGCAATGTAATGTAATATAATATAACAGAATCTAACGAATTTATAAGTAAACATCGTCTGTAGTGTCCAGCATATCACATTACACTATTCAGAAGATGATTGGAACCTTAATCAGCTTGAAGTGTGTACCTTTATCTCAATGGCTGTCACAGTGGGTAGACCCTATAGATATAATTTTATAATGTAACAAGGAGTCCTGGGTAAAAATCATAAGGCTTACTTTCCTATAGCAGACACTTCCATTGATACAAATATGTGTTGTCATGTTCAGGAAATGTAAATTTGTAACCCAACAATGCATTGTAGTGTAGCTGATGCATTAGCATGCCTGAGTCTTGTGCAGACGGTTTCATGCACCTAACTCCAGTGTTCAGTAGTTATTGCCATTAAACTGTCTGTTAACTGCAGTTTTAATGCAGCCACCATGTTATTTTACACAGAGGCTTAAAATTGCATCATTTCAGGATACTATATTAGGTCACTAGAGTCATGTCTGATATGTCTGTTATCACCAAGTGTAGGAATGTAAAGGAGGGAGGTTTGGGTGACCTCCATTGATGTACATAACTTTCATGCTGAATTTCATGAATATGAGGGAACATACACACAGACTGCTTGGTAATCTCATAATCCTATTTTCTTTCCTTACAAAAGGAAGAGTGGGCTAACAATTATTTTTCAGGTAAGAAAGTATTTAGGTCATTTAGCCCACTGTTATGTTGAAGGATGTTGCAAGACAAAGTGTATACTTCGTGTGTTGCTGATATGAGTACAAATCTCCAACTGACAAGACAGTCATCTGAATTAGGTTCTAGTGTGTAATGTACATTATACTCTTGTTTTATGTTGGGTTTAGGTCCCTGAAAGTACTGCCATATGTCAGATCAACATAAATGAATGATAATGTGTTTAATTGGGATATTCCAGTTATACAAAAAGTGAGACTCTCTTTCATAAACTAATACATATATACATAGGTAAGTCAGTAAGTAAGTTACAAATGGATATAGAACTTAAACAAATAAGAGTACCGGCATTACTTCGGCGCCTTCTGCGGGTACCTCTCGTAGTTCTGCCGCCTCAGGTTTCCTGTCCACTGAGGCTGGCTCTTCTTCTACTAGACGTGCCTCCATTTCTCAGCAGGCCATTGTCTCTCCGACCGGTATCACTACGGGGACCTCTTCTTGTTGTGCCGTCCGTTCTTGGGTTGCTTCCGTTTCCGCGGCAGTATTTTCTTGCCAGGTTTTCAAGTCGGCGTCTGCTTTTATTTGGATAGCCCTCATCTCTTTCAGAAGTTCCTCTTTGTCAGCTTTCCTATCTGCGACTAATTTTGCCAGGAAATCCTTATGGTCGGCTTTCGCATATTATTGAAAAGGTTTCAAATAAAAAATGTGTGACTACAAGAAGTACCCATTCTTCATCCAGGATATGGTAGCTTTCCTTCTCAATACAGTATCACAGTATATAACAGCTAAAACATTTGAGAGAATATTACTGAAATAAATATCATTACTGTAAATCCATACAGAACCAAACCTGTCTGACAGTGCAAATGGGCAATGTTGATCTACCACAAAAAAAGGAAGTGAAATACATGAGCATGCATCTCGATAGAAGACTAACATGGACAAAGCATGTCAAATCCAAAAGAAAACAGCTCAACCTAAAAGAGAAATAAATGCACTGGCTACTTTGAAGAGTGACACTATCAACAGAAAGCAAACTCCACCTAAACAAAGCAGTATTCAAACCCATATGGACATACGGAATTCAGCTGTGGGGGCCAGCCTCCAATTCCAACATCAAAATCCTCCAGCACTTTCAATTCAAGACTCTCTGATCCATTCTGAATGCACCTTGGTACATAAACAACCACAGGCTCCATGAAGACCTACAAATGATCACAGTGCTCAGTGAAATAAAAAGTGGGCTACCAAGTACTTGAGAAAATTAGAAAACCATACTAATGCACTAACAATAAACCTACTAGACAATAGCGAAACTACACACAGACTGAACAGATACACCATCCTAACTTTACCAGACAGTCCTAAATAAAACCTCAGTACAAGAAATAAAATGGTACCTAAGTGAACAAAAAATATGTATATGAGTTACACCACTAGGCATAACTCATTCACAAGCCAGTACTTATTGAACATATACATTTGTTGCATATTCTGCAGGTTATGTATGGGTCTAAATTTTATGGCATATAGACTTGTTGCTAGGCAATGACCACAAAATAAGCAGCTGTACAACAGCTGGTGCTAGGTAATGGCCACAAGAGATTCATAACACACAACACTGGAGTAACTGGGAAGCGGTGTTTTCTCCAAGATCTGTGCGATAGCTGCATGATGAAACAATAGAATAACTGTTGAGAGAGGTGTGTTCTATGCGGTCCATGCCGAGACTACAACAAGGAGCAGCTCCAATTATGAGATAGTCTTCAGACAGCAATGAGAAGAGTAGAAGGTTAGTGTTAGATGGCCGCCAGCCTGAGAGTCAGTTGGAGTAATGAGTTAGTTGTGAGACAGTCACTGACCGGTAAGGACATGAACACAGGAACTACGACGTTGGAAGCCATTACCAGGCGATGACTGGTGAAAGTACAACAGACAGAAGAATTAATGCAAGCTGTAATGAACTGCAGAATGTGTGACTTAGCGATTGCACTATAGTTACTTTTAGTTACACTCTGTAAGAATTCAGTAAATCCAATTACCAGTGCAAACCCTGTTTATAGTCACTCTTAACACATGACAGTATATTTGGGTATTCACTATTATATTGTCACCATGTCATGGCACATCTTCAAGTTCTGGATGGATGAAACAGCCACCAGATATGGAGGATAGATGTGAATATATTGAATAAGCAGTCACAGGCAGCCAACAAGAGATGGTCCTCCAGCTTGGGGATTGTGCATGGGGCTAACAACACCTCACCATAAAATATTAGTTTGTTATGAAATGTCACAAATGACCTCAGACAGATTCTTTGGATAAACGACGTTAGCTAAGGAAAATGGGCATAAGATTTGGTACATGCAGTGTAGAAGTGTGTATAGGGCAGGTTCATTCACAACAACTGTGAAAGCAGTATCAGATTATAAGTTAGATTTAGTGGGAGTACAGGAGATCAGATGGGACAGGGGTGGCACCAAACCAGCAGGCAGAGATACATTTTCTGTGCAAAAGAGAATGAGAATCATGAATTAGGTACAGGTTAAGTGTCAGCACTTAAAGAGGGTAGAGTTTGTTAGTGCTAGTAAGTCAACATAATACCAAGAAGTTGCTGGTGCGATATCATTGTTCTGAATGTTCATGTCCCAGCAGAGGATAAAATTGATGATGTGATGGACAGATTCTACAAACATCTAGAATATGTATTCAATAAATTCCCTAAATACCACATGAAGATACTGTTAGGAAATTTCAATGCCAAGAAAATATCTTCAAAAGAAGACATTTTCAAACCAACAGTTGGGCATCAGAGTTTGCATGAAATTAATAATGATAATGGAGTAGTCTCCTCATCGAAAGACTCACAATCAAATTGATCATTTTTGATAGACAAGAGACGGCTTTCAAGAATGCTTGAT